CATGGAATGATTTAATTCTGCTTTTCTTTCATTCTTTTTTACCGAAGGGACTTGCCAGTGAAGCAGCCACTAACTTTGGGTTAATACATATGGGGGGGTCTTCTTACCCAGACTTTGTGGTTCTTCCATGTGTCTTAAGGAGGATTTTCCCCCCAGATTTGAGCATTAGCTTAAATTATTTGCCTGCCTGTTTATTTTTGTATCTGCATCGGTGTTTACAGCATGTTCACAGCCTCAACACTCGAGTGGGAGGGACAAGGCTGGGACTGCACTGGGAACAGAGGGGGTTTGGCCTTCTTAAGGGATTTACCTCAAAATTAAACTTCACTTTCACTACTAAAAAGTGAGATTTTATCAGCCTGAACTCACCTGTCCTTCCCCACCTGTTCAGATGAGTGATGTGTCAGCAGGGGGAGCCACGGTCTTCCCTGAAGTGGGAGCCAGCGTTTGGCCCAGAAAGGTGAGCAGGCTTGATCCAGCAGATAAATCCACTCCTCCCCACCTACCCACACAGAACAGAGCTTGAAAATGAATCTCTAAAATAACTGTAAGCACCTCTGTGCTGTCACAACAGTGCTATGATTTTCCTTAAGTGCAGCAACTGGAGCTGTGTTGGTGATTCCAAGGGCCCTGATATTCCATGTGTGGATGCAAATGCAAAACATTTAAATACTCCAAAACACATCTTGAAAATACTCAGATCTGTGAGTTGCTTTAATCTTGAGGCATCTGTAGGAAATTTTCCTGTCAGATTTTTCCTTCAAGCAAGGTTTGCCTTTGCTGCCCTGCTGTTCAGCTTTAGTAAATAATCTTGGCTCTCTTAAACTCGTCAGGAATTGAATGAAACTGGCTTAGGACTTTTTAATAAAAAACTAAGAGACAAGCATACAATAAGTCAAAGGAGACTTATTCCTAAGAATAAGAATATGGAAAAGAGCCCTTTAAAAGGAGGATCTGAAACACAAATGCACCTACCTTTGCCTTAGTGTGTGTGGTACAGAGCACAGGGCTGAGTGTCCCTTGCATTCCCAGGGAGCAGCTGTGTGCTGGTACAATCTCTGGTGTGACACTGTGTGTGTCGTACAGAGCACAGGGCTGAGTGTCCCTTGCATTCCCAGGGAGCAGCTGTGTGCTGGTACAATCTCTGGTGTGACACTGTGTGTGTCGTACAGAGCACAGGGCTGAGTGTCCCTTGCATTCCCAGGGAGCAGCTGTGTGCTGGTACAATCTCTGGTGTGACACTGTGTGTGTCGTACAGAGCACAGGGCTGAGTGTCCCTTGCATTCCCAGGGAGCAGCTGTGTGCTGGTACAATCTCTGGTGTGACACTGTGTGTGTCGTACAGAGCACAGGGCTGAGTGTCCCTTGCATTCCCAGGGAGCAGCTGTGTGCTGGTACAATCTCTGGTGTGACACTGTGTGTGTCGTACAGAGCACAGGGCTGAGTGTCCCTTGCATTCCCAGGGAGCAGCTGTGTGCTGGTACAATCTCTGGTGTGACACTGTGTGTGTCGTACAGAGCACAGGGCTGAGTGTCCCTTGCATTCCCAGGGAGCAGCTGTGTGCTGGTACAATCTCTGGTGTGACACTGTGTGTGTCGTACAGAGCACAGGGCTGAGTGTCCCTTGCATTCCCAGGGAGCAGCTGTGTGCTGGTACAATCTCTGGTGTGACACTGTATGTGTTGTACAGAGCACAGGGCTGAGCGTCCCTCCCATTCCCAGGGAACAGCTGTGTTCTGGTACAATCTCTTCCCGAGTGGAGAAGGCGATTACAGCACGCGGCACGCGGCCTGCCCGGTGCTAGTGGGAAATAAATGGGGTGAGTACCTGCCTCTGACCTGAGTCTGGGCTCTGCTGGGGGGTGGCTTGGCTTTATTTTTTCTTTAGACTTCAGAAATTACATTCTTTGTAAAGAAATATATTTACCTCATCTCTCTATGTTAAATATATTTTATATAGTAGCATGTTTCATTATGTGTATAAAGGAAATTAATATTATATCTACTTTAAGAGTAGCTATGTCTACTTTAAGAGTTTTTGTAGCTTTGCAGCCATACTGGAAGGGTTTTTGGTTGGTTTGTTTTTGTAGTTAGACTAACTTCACAGATCTGTGCATGGCAGTGGGGTTGGAATGAGAGACTCTTTTAAGGCCCCTTCCAACCCAAACCATTCTGTGATTAAAACCCTTTAGCAAACTAAGATAATCCTGTGCTTAACTAAAAGCTTGTCTAGAGCATATTTAGCTTCAGCAGAGAGGAGCTGACACGTGCAGTGATGCAGTCCCTTTGTGTCTTTGCAGTCTCCAATAAGTGGCTCCACGAGCGGGGGCAGGAGTTCCGCCGGCCGTGCACGCTGTCGGAGCTGGAATGAGGCAGCCCGGGCTCCTGGGTGCTCAGGGTGTGGGGAATGCACACCCTGCCAGTTTACAGTGACTAACAAACACTCCACTACAGGTTCACCCCACCCAGCTCAGCTGTGGACAGGACAAACGTGCTTTTGGTTCCCTCCAAATCTCCCCCAAGGTTTATCAACAGAAAATATTGAGGTTGACAAGTATTACTGAAAAAAAAGGACAAAATACAGATAAATATAGATGAGGGCCACAACTTACAGCGGTGTTGTGTGTGGTGTTCCTGTCACCATCATCCCTCTGAGCAGTGTGGGCAGCCTGGGGTTGTCTGGAGTCTTCCTCACTGCCAGGCTTAGGGCAGGATCATTGCCTGGGAGGGCTCCCTTCTAAGGAATGCTGAATTAAACCCATTCCTATTCCTCAATTCCCAGACACTTGACTCTTTGCTTTCCTAGAGTGCCTGACCACTGCAGGCTTACTTTGCTGGAAAACAGGTTATTATCATGTTTTATCCTGATTTTCCACTTCCACAAAAGCCCCACTTTTTAAACTTGTCTTCCTTCTCAGCCTTTGTGGAGAATTTGGCTCTCTTTGTGGAGAATATGAGCCAGCAGTTCCACAGGCAGTCAGGATGCTTCCACAGTGTCAGAGCAGCCTGGGAACACCCACAGCCCATCTCCCCTCCTCTTTCTGCAATGTTTGTCCACAAGAACAAATGCTGCTTTTGTTCTGTCCTGGCAGCCAGCTCTTCCCTCTGCTCCTCGGGCAGCAGGGATGGGGATGTTCCCATCTTCATTAATCAAAATTGTCGTGCCTTAGGACACTGGAATTTCAAATTGGTTCTGAGACTTCAGGTGCTGAGGTAACACAGAGTCCTCACAGAATGCTCCCTGTCCTTTTTCTCCTCCCAGCTCTCGAGGTTTCAGGAGAAACTCTCAGCCTATTTATAGTCCTGAACCTTTTTTAGATGCAGGCTCACTTTCCTGAACCCTTTCCCTTCCACAGGAGGATTTTAGCAAAATATCCAAATATCTCAATAGCACGAGGACAAAAATCAAAGGAAGCTGCACCTGCCTCTACCTAAACAGTCCAATTTTCTGGATGATGATGATTTTACTGAATTTAGGGGTCAAGCCTGAAGTCTTTACCAAGGGAAAAATTCCAATTTTGGTTAATTGGATTTTCTGCCTCAATAAAATCTTGACACTTGAGCCAAAACTTACAAAACCTATTGTTAAATGTGCTAGAAATACCTCTGGATTACTGGGAATGCAGTTTAAGGTACTATAGTTGGAGGAACTGCATACTTTCAGAAGACACTTTAAAAGGTCTTTGCTGGAAAATAATTGTTGAATTTCTACTGAGCCTGGTAGCAGTGGGACCCACAGAACTGCCCCTCCTTAGCCCTGCACCTCCCTGAATTTTGCCTGGCTTTTGGCAGCTGGAAAACAAGGTCCATCCATAAAGTGAGAACACAAAGTCTGCACAGTCCCATCTGTCCTGCTCATTTACCAAGAGCAGGAGCTGATGTAAATAAATTCACCCCAGAACTGAATTAGCAGAGCTGATCTTCGAGCCCCAATTTGTAATAATTAAAAAAACCCCCAGACCTGTAAGATTTGTGCCTACCTGAGTTTTCTCACTTTTTTTTTTCTCTTGCTCTTCCTATCCGTGGTTCTCTCTTTTCCCTTTCCCTTCTCTTATTTTGTTAAGCTCCAAAAAGTTAACCATGGCTGCAGGTACCTCCCACCATGTCCCTGCAAGCAAAGGGGACAATGAACAGTGGGAACAGTTGGGAATCCTGCCTTTGAGGCATCCATAAATGCTGGTAGGGAAGCCAGTCCTACCTAGTAAAGGAGCACAGAACAAAACCCCTGTACTGCCATCAGGAACAGGTATGGAAAACGCCTGCATTTGCTCTTCATGTCCCATCTCTGTTCAACACTCACCAAAGCATGAAAAAAAGCCAGAGATGGGGAATTTTGTTCAGCAGTTCCCTCCCTCACCTCAATACCAGTGCGTGCTTGCGGTGTTAAACAGCATCAGTCTCAGGCATTGCTTGGGGAGTACAAATGTTCTGGTGCACGACTTTTTAAAGCAGTGAACCACTCACAGATAATTCTTCAGGAAAGAATTTTCTGCTTTTGACAGTAGAAAATTTTACTTGGTTAAAGGAGAAAAAAAATCTCTCAAGATTGAATCTCCAGTCTGCTGGGACACATCAGGAACGTTCCAGATTATGACAACAGGGTTGGCTTAGATTTTTAAACTGCAGACAATCCTTATTTCCTCTCCCTCCACTGCAGTGGTGTCCATGTATCCAGTGCTGACTGTGTAAGGGATTACACTGGTGCTGCTGCTTCTGCCTTATCCCATCATTTCTCAGAGGGCTGTTGGATCCCCATCGTGGCTCCTGTGTGAATCTAGTTTTGTATTAAACATGATTGAAAACTGTCTGGGCTCACAGTGACTGACAACTGCCTTACTGTTACCTTTTTTGTAATAAAATTTTTAATGTAAAAAAAAAGTGAACAGGCTTAAAATAAAAGCCACTGCCATTAGCAGTGAGAAATCCTCCACATCCAACTCTCCTTGTATGTGGCTGCCATAAATCTGATCACACAGAGTTTTATCACCAGAGGTTTATCACCATTTGTGGAAACCAAGCTCCTCTGTTTCCCTTCAGCATCTCACAGGGCAGGTGCAGGAGCTGCTCCTACCCCAAATTCCTGTTCAACACTAAACTTGTGTCTCCACTGGGAGCACTCAGCACTAAAGGGCTGCAAGAGGGGAGGGCAGATAATGCTGGGCTGAAAGCAGGATCAGCTGTTGAGGATCTCTTTTCCAGGAGGGGCAAATCTATTTTGTGAAGCGAGAAAGTCAAACAACCACTTACCCTGGAATGGTTCTAGGGAGGGGAATAAAACACCAGAGACTCCAAGAGCACAATAAACTCACATGTGGGAAGGTCAGGCTGGCCTCTTCCATGACCAAAACCTCTGGGGTCTGTACACCACAGCCCTCCCTGGGCTTCACCCTGCAGAGCAGTGGAGCTTGTGCTTAATTCCCATCATCAGGAACCTGCAAAAAGCACAGCAGGGGCTGTTGAGGGGCCTGGATTCTTCTGCCTGTGGAACGGAGCTGCCTGGGAACACCCACAGCCCATCTCCCCTCCTCTGCAGGGAGGGCACTGCCCCAACACAGCTGATGTGAGCACACGTTTGAAATAAGCCTGAGGAGCACTGTTTGATTTTGGAAAGGTGAAGGGGTTCCCTCCCCAGCTACCCTGTGCTGCTGAGCTGCTGCCCTGCCCCTGCCCAGAGGATCAGCCCTGTCCCACCCCAAGCAGTGACTTCCCACCATCCTACCTGGGTCCCTGGGGCTCTTCTGCCACAGCTGCAGCTGAAGGGTGACCGTGGGGGTCACCAGCAGGGGAGGAACCCAACAAGGGTAAGGATCACTGCAGCTGCAGCTGAAAAGGCTGAAAAGGTCAGAGATAGAGAGAAATGCCTGTGAATGTCACAGGGCAGGATAAGCTGAAGAGAAAGGAAAGGGTCTGACAGGATCATGGAATCAAAGACTGGTTTGGGTTGGAAGGTATTTAAAACTCATCTAGTTCCACCCCCTGCTATGGGAGGGATGCCTTCCACTATCCCAGGCCTTGTCCAGCCTGGCCTTGGACACTTCCAGGGATCCAGGGGCAGCCACAGCTCTACTGGGCAGCCTCCTCAGGGCTTCTCCACCCTCACAACATAGAAGTTCTTCCCAATATCCCCATCTATCCCTGCCCTCTGTCAGTTTGATGCCCTTCTCCCTTGTCCTGTCACTCCAGCCCTTCTCCAGCTCTCCTGGAGTTCCTTTAGGCACTGGAAGGGGCTCTGAGGTCTCCACACTTTTCTGTTTTCCAGCTGAACAATCCCAGTTCTTCTAGCCTTCCCTCCCAGCAGAGCTGCTCCATGCCTGTGCCCATCCTGGTGCCTCCCCTGGGCTCTCTCCAGCAGCTCCAGGTCCCTCCTGTGCTGGCCCCAGGGCTGGGGCAGCTCTGCAGGTGGGGTCTCAGCTGAGCCCAGGGGCAGAGGGGCAGCACCCTCTCTACAGCTGGGGGAAGGCAGCACAAGGGATCTGCCCAGGGACTCCCAGAGAGCGGACCTGCCCACACCCTTGAGCTCTGCTCCCTTAGGGAGGGGGTCTTTAACCACCCCAGCCAGCCTCTCCCGGCTGCCGGACTCTGACCTGCAGGAGAACTCGGAGAACTCGGGGATTTCACCATCGACCCGCAGCTCTCTCTCCTCCCCATAATCAGTGACTCAGCTGGCTCCCAAGCCGGGCTTTGGAGCAGCCACGGATCACCCACTAACCTGAGCCACCAGCTGCCTCTTCCCCCGGCTAAACATCCACCAGCAGCTCCCTGAGCCAGCCAAAGCCGATGGAAAAGGAGCTCGGTCCCTCTATCCCACGTCCTCCCCAGCAGAGTGGCACGGGCAGAATCCTGACACAGCCACGACGCGCTGGGAAGGAGGAATGCAGCACAGGAGCTGCAGCTCGGCTCCTGATGCGGAGCCAAGAGGGCTTTTCCAGCTCCATCTGGGATGGGGCTCATTGCCACAGGCGCGGGGACACCGGACGCAGGGACAGGACGGGTGTAGTCCCCTCTCCCTCCCAGCCCAGGAGCGCTGCCAGGAGCCTGCAGTGTCCCGGGAACGCGTGACTCACCGCCGCTCTATATTTAAGCATTACGGAGGCAGGAATGAATGCACGCAGTCAGGAGCTGCCTATCCCGAGGTCAGCACCAGGCTCAGGAAGCATTTGTCAGAGTTCACCACCGTGGCAAAAAGCATCTGCACCCCTTAAATCTTCAGAGAGAGAAAAGCTGGCGCAGGGAAGGGGGTTTTGTAACTGCAGCGGGTCAAAGCCAGACCAGAGAACCTGCGGGGTCCCACTGTGCACATCCACAGCTCCTCACTGCTGCAGCTGCTGAGCCACTCCCCGAGGGAAAACTGGAGGTCACTTTTACCCAATCCTACATTTTTCCTGCTCTTCAGATCTTGCAGTCTGGGTGCAACTGAGATATTTGCAGCTGGACTGAAAAGCTCTCAGGAGACTGGCTCGGGGAGGGAAGGAAGGAAGCAGAAGGAAGGAAGAAAGGAGAGTGGCTCATCCCCGGGGCAGGGCAAAGGGGCTGCCACGTTTTGGAAAAGCAGTAAACTGCTTTTTACTCACCAACCTTTGCTTCAGGATCAGTGACAAACTAACAGGAAAGTTTCTGACTCCTCTTTACTCAGGCTCTGCCCTCTGCCAGCTGCTCCCTCCCCGCCCTGTTCAGCTTTCCCAATTCCAATTGATTTTGGAATTTGCCTGGGTGCTGCAGAGCCACCAGCTCCAGGCTGCATGCCCTGCCCATGCCACATTCCCTGTGGTTTGCCTCCTCTGCAGTCCTGCCAGCATTTTTCCCCTCTCTCTTTGCCTTCAGCAGAACATGAATCAGTCAGCAGGGACCGAGGGATGACAAAGAAAGCTGTGTTCTGGAATTGCCTCCAGAACAACCCTAAAAGGCTCTACATAAAAGCAGGACACTATGCACAGACACCCAGAGGCTCTTACACATTTCCAAGCTAGTCCCCAATAGCTGGTTTGCTCTTTTTTACATTAATTTCTGCCAGGCTGTTGGCAAATGCTGGGAGCACTGGGACTGTGATCTGGAGTGTCAGGCAGGGCAGGGACTGAACCAGCAGAGACATGAAGGATCCACTCACTGCAAGACACAGCATGGGATTCTTGAATCAGTGCCACTGACAACAAATTCCAGGGATCATTTCCACCCATGACTGACAGAAGAGTCCCCAGCATGGTCTGAACAGCAGGAGAGGCCCAAGCTCTCCAGTGCTCCTGCAGGGAAGCCCTCACTTCCCCAGCACCCCCTCTGCCATGTGCCAGGGTGACACAGATGTCACAAAAGGCTTACTCGAGGCAGGGATTTGCTGATTCCCAAGCTGCCAACCTCCCTTTCCCAGTGTTCTCTGCATCTGGGTTTATCTCCCCAAAGGCAAAGCTGGTTTGAGGCTCCCCTGGGAGCTCCTGCACTCCTAAATGTCCCCTCACCCAAAAAGTCAGCCCTGGCAGTCATGGGCTTCAGAACAGGTGGAAAAAGCAGGCAGCAGCTGCCTCTGGCTCCACACCATTGCACAGGAGAGGCACTAACCAGCTTGTTTGTTCCCCCTTTCTCTGACTTACCTGTCTAAGAAACCAAGACTTGGCTGTGGTTCCTCCTCCTTATCCCATGTCTGGAGCTCATCACCCAGGGCCATGTGCAGAGACACAGACAGTGCCATGGAGCTCTGGCCCAGAAGCAGTAATGCAATGGGGCTAAACTTCCTGCAAAGCAATAAAATGCCAGAATTTGCATTTGTGTTTGGCATAGATTTGAAAGCTCCTCCTGGGAGGCAGTGCTGTGCTGGGGCACATCTGAAAAGCTTTCTAAGAGCAGCCAGAACCTTCCCACACCATTTCCCTTCTCTATTCTTCGTGAGTGGCTTGCTTTGTCTTTTGCTGTTGGTGTTAATTTGGTTGCTTTCTTTTTAATGAGCAACTTTGAACCCTCCACCAGCTGAGAAGGACCCTGGGTCCAGGCAGGCCTGTCCCGCTCCAGAGCCAGGAGCTGCAGGTGTCCCACAACCCATTCCCTGGCTCAGGTCTCAGCGCCAACCTTTCCTCCTGGGTCACCTGTGCTACGCTTAACTTACATTACACAGGAGCTGTAACAAGCAGCCCTGCAACATCAGCCACATCAAAGGCAATACTCACCTACCAACTGATCCTGGAACTGGCGGTGATGCCAAGGAATTGCCCTGAATGTAATGCTTGTCCCAAACTTCTCCAAGCTGCTGGATCAACCCCTCCGAGGCTCCGTGGGCCCTTGGGATTTGCTAGGAGCAATACAGCCAGCAGGCGGGCTGGGTGAAGGTCTCATCCCACCCCTCCCTGTGCCCAGGAGGCCTGGGGAAAAGGCAAGGGGTGCTCCTCAGCCTGCCTGAGCAGCACAAATATTGGACAGAGAAATACTCTTCACGTCCCAGCAGGCTGGGGAGGGAGTGCAGTGCCCTGGGGAGAGAGAACCCGCTCAGGGGTGAGGGAGGGGTCCCTCCTGGGGAGCTGCAGCCATGGGGACCGAGCTGTCCCAGCGGGATTGTGCAAACTCCCAGCTCCGGGAGCTGAACTCGCTCCGTATCTCGGCGCTGCACTTTGCCCCCGGCTGCCGTGACCTCACGCCGGCTCCCCGGGCAGCGTTTAAAGTCCAGGCAGAGCGGTGCCGCTGCCTCCTGCCCAAGCAGCTCATCCCCGCCGCTGCCCCTCGGCCTGCCCGGCTCGGGCCCGGGCCTGCAGCATGCGGCTGCTGCTGCGGGCAGCGCTCCTGTGCCTCACCCTGCGCCTGGGGCACGGCTCCGAGGAGGCAGCGCCCGGCAGCCCCGGCCAGCAGGACTCCCAGGCAGTGTCATCCTACTCCGACTGGGGCATCGACACCATCCGGGATGGCTTTGAGACGGTGAACAGCTACTTCGACTCCTTCTTGGAACTGCTTGGGGGGAAAAACGGAGTCTGTCAGTACCGCTGTCGATACGGTAAGTGAACCTCACTGCTGCTGGCTCCTCTCTCCTCGCCCTTTCCCCTCTCTCCCTCTCCTTTCCTGCGGCCACGAGCAGCTCCTCCTACCCAGGAGCTGCCCCCGGCAGAGCTCAGGGTCACAACTCCTGTGCCAGTGCCAGCACAGGGACACTGAGCCCCCTTCCCCAACAGAAGCCAGCTCTCCAAGGCACCGCACACAGGACAGCAGGGGAGGATGGAGCCTTCCCTGCCAGGGCACACAGGTACCAGCTGGGAGGGCACACAGCACCCAGGCTGGGAGGGCACACAGCACCCAGGCTGTGAGGGCACACAGTACCCGGCTGTGAGGGCACACAGTACCCGGCTGTGAGGGCACACAGGTACCCGGCTGTGAGGGCACACAGCACCCAGGCTGGGAGGGCACACAGTACCTGGGCTGTGAGGGCACACAGTACCCGGCTGTGAGGGCACACAGCACCCGGCTGTGAGGGCACACAGTACCTGGGCTGACCCGCTGCCCGGAGCCTGGCACAGCACAGGGAGGGGAGGCTGAGCCAGCTGCCCTAATCTCAGCAACCTTCGGAGTGTCCTTATCCAGCAGCTGTGAGCTGGCCACTGCCGAGGGCTGCAGGAGGAGAGATAACAGCGGGACAAACCACACGTCACCGGGAGGAGCCTTTAGTGCTCAAGGCAGAAGGAGGCAGCTCCTGCTTGCTTTGGAATTCACTTTTTGGTGGTTTACCAAAAAGGGTTAGTTTGGCTTGTCCTGGGCGCAGGATGAAGGGGGTGACATCTTCGGGAGGGCAGGGCAGGGCTGCAGTCTGTGGGGTGACAGGGCCACAGGCAGCACTGGCCATCATGGTACCTGTAGGAATGACCTGCTTAGGAACCAGGCAGGAGTTTTCCCACAGATTGTATCCTCTCCTCAGCCTCCTACAATTGTCCCACAGCAACATCTTGTCCTGTCACCTCAGCCTGCCCAGCCAGAGCTTCACCCCACACCCCTAGTGACCACCTGGGAAAGAAGCTTCTGAGCACAAGGGATTTCAACCCCTCTCCTCCCCAGAGCATTATTTTTCACGGACAGAGTCAATGCTTTGGGGAGACCCCACTGACTCTGTCTCAGTCTGTATAGATCCCATGGACCTCCTGCTCTTCCCAGGCCAGCAGCCAGGCCACTGGGACAAAGAGATGCTGCGGGGCTAGGACCTCAGCTCCCTGTCAGGGGGGGAGGTTAAAATCAGTCTGAAAGTTGCTGAGTTGTTTTGTTTCACAAATAATGTCACAGAACCATAGAACAGGCTGAGTTGGAAGGGACCCATCAGATCACTGAGTGCAACTCCTGGCCCTGTGCAGGACACCCCAAGAGTCACACCCTGTGCCTGAAAATGTTGTCCAGACACTCCTGGAGCTCTGGTAGCCATGGGACCACTTCTCTGATGAGCCTGGAAGTGCTCACAGTGCTCAACCACCCTCTGGGTGAAAAACCTCTTCCCAACATCCATCTAATGTGTATAAGGTATCCTCCCCCTCCTGCCAGCTCCGCTCCCCAGGCCCCACACTGAGAACAACCAGGGAGCAGCAAGCCAGGAACCTCAGCCCAGTGGGATGGAGGAAGCCAGGTACCCCAGCCCATCACCACAGCCCCACAGTGGCCCTGCTCCCTCAGCCTGGGGGTCCCTCAGCCTCCCTGCAGCAGCTCAGGAGGGCCTGTCTGGAGGAGGTGGTCCCCAGACCCCCCAGCACTCAGGATGAGCTTATCAGGCAGCCTGTCTCATGCTCACGGTGTGGCAGCCCCAGGCCATGTGTGTGAAAACCTCCTAAAAGTCCAGTCCATGCTCCAAATTCAGAGCAGAAAGGGACTTGCCCTCCTTAATGTAGAGACTGAAACCCCTGGCAGTGGGAAAACTGTGGCTGGGACTGCAGTGTGCCTGAGGCAATGCTGGTACTTAGAGCTGGTTTCAGGGAGGCTCAGGACTCACCACACCATGCAGGAGTTACTGCTTTTGGACACATCCAGGGGGCTCTCCCTGCCTGTCCTTGTGAAAAGCATCTCCAGAGAGCAGCACAAATCCCTGCTGGCATCCCAGGAGCCCCTGCATCTTACAGGAGCAGTGTTTTACCTAGAAAGGAAAACAAGCCCATTGCTAGCCCAGTTCTCATCCTCTGCTGAACAGCTCATTAATCACTGCCTGAAGGAGGACACTACTGAAATGCTGCCCACGTGGCTCCAAGGGGCTTGCTAGACCCTTCCAGGACCATTTGTCCTTGCTAATCTCTGGCGCAGACGTTGCAAACTGTGAGAGGAGAGGATGCCAGGATGGTCCCAAACCAGTGAGATCCAGTCCTTGCTCAGAAGGATGAACACAAACCATCTTTGTGCTGAATCAGAGCCTGGTTGCTTTTTCTCCCCAGGCATGAAACAAAAATTATTCCTTCTACTTATTTTAATTTCAGCCAAGAGATACCAATAACAGCTTATTTTGCCACAGTAAAGGTCAGGACTCACCTGTGATTGCCACATCCATCTTCAGCTGAGCACATGGCTGTTCCAGCTGTAAGACTCTCCTGACTTTTCAGCAGCTACTGAGGTCTGAAAACAACCAACTTGATGGATGAGTCCCTTAAATCAGGACATTAGGGTTACACTAGCATTTACTGGCAAATATACTCCTGCTTACAAAGTCTCACTGGGCATCTCAGGGGAAACAAACAGCCTGAGCTGGGAGTGAAGCCCTTGCAGCTTCCTCCTGGCCATGCAAGACTTCACTGCTCTGCTCAGCATTTGGTCCTGAAGGGCTTCAGATGAGGGGGCACCTCCAGGCTGTGGGAAAAGAGCCTTCAAAGCCCCTGGAAAAGAGCCTTCAAAGCCAGGCTCTCTCCAACAGGGCTCACAAAGCTGGGTGTGTGCAGGCACCTCTGCTCAAAGCCTGCCTGCCTGGGGCACACAAACAACAATGGACCACCCAAAAGTGCAAGGAGCCCTGAGACCATCCATTCACCCAAAAATACACTCACTCCCCCTGCCAGTGTCCCAGCACTGCAGTGCCTGAGACCTCCTGCATTGCCAGCAGCTGCTCCAGCCAGCTGGCTGCTTTCCAGCCTCTTGGAACAGCTACAACAGCCTGGGGGAATCAAAATGCATCAGGGAAACTCAACTTCAGTTCTAGGGCTGTGGCAACAAGGCAGTGGCCTGAAATGTATCTTCTTGCCTGTGAGGATGGGCAAGCAATAAATGATAACAGGAGCACTGAGTCAATGCTTGTAGAGGGCAGGAAGGCCTGATATTCCTGTTTTGCTTTTGCTTTCCTGTTACGTACAAAACAAGATATGGAAGAGAGGTTAATTGTGGTGCCTTGCACTTGACCTAGCTGAGAAAGAGTACAAAGGGGCACTTTATAAGTTTTAAAGCTCTGTTTTGCAGAGAGGAGGGGACAGGTTTCCTACGAGGGCTTATCCTGAAGGCAGTTTGATGTTTTATGGATCAGCACAATCCTTATTTACCTTAGGGTTTTTTTCCTCAGGACAGCTTTCTAGAACATTATAATAGCTGTGGCTTCAGCTGAATTGAAGATCTGGAAACACAGCTATTTTTGGCTGGGATCTGGATAATGCAGATAGAACTGGATAACTGGAGGATTTTAAAGGTCCCATCCAGCCCAAGCCATTCTATGATTCTATGATCTCCACATCCCCAAAAATCTCACTCTTACTCAGACTTGCCATCTTATCCCATTCACTGCCAGTGTGCTGCAGGAACAGAATTTTTACAACCAATATTACAAGCAAGTCACTCAAATTTGACTCCATCCTGCAAAACCCACAGCGGATTTTGAACTTTCCTCTGCCTCCTGCATCAGTTCAGGAACACTTGAATTCTGAGTCCCAGCTCCCACTCCCTTCCAAAAAACCATCAAGGCTCTTTTGGAAGAGGAAGATTGCCTGTTGGCATCTCACAGCTGGACAGCATTTCAGTTTGTAATTTATTTGTAGCAAAGCTGTTATTTAAGCAATACAGCTCTGGCAAAGTTTAATTGAGAGGTGCTGGGAACACTCCTACATAAGGCCCTCTGAGGTTTTTGGCTGCAATGCCTTCCCAAGGGCACAGCAGATTTATGGTTGAATTAACTACTGGCATTTTAGGTACCTGAACAGAAAAATGGGAAAAGTGTCTTAAATAATTCCTGGTGCTGACAAGAAGCAAGAAGTGGAAATGGAGTTTAAAAGAACCCAACCCTGCCTTGAAGGGCTGAATTAGATCCATTTTATGTCTATATAAATTCTCTAGCCTTGCTCAGGGAAGCAGAAACTTAACCCTTGATGTGACAGGCTTCAGAAGGCCCAGCTCACAGGAGTTTTTGTTGGAGCATTCCTGCATTTTATGTTTTCCTAGAGCAGGGACAGGACCCAGGGAATGGCTGGAGCTATGTTGAAGCAGGGTTAGGTTGGATATCAGGAAAAGGTTCTTCCCCCAGAGGGTGGTCGAGTACTGAACAGGCTTCCCTACAAAAATCAGATTAAATGCTGCTGGAAGGTACTGCTAGAGCTGGCTGTGAGCTGGACTCCTCCTACATTGGGTAAATAATTATTCACAGAGGGAGTTCTTGCTCCTTTATGCATATTAAGAAGCAGACTGAGGAAGGTGCAGAGATTAAAGGAATAGAAATAATTTTGCAAAACATGGCAGTGCATTACCATGGGCAGAAAATGGACCAAGAAGACCTGCTCAGAGCAAGATCAGACATGCAAGGTCTGGCACAGTCTGGGGGACAGCCACACCACACCAACAGTCCAAGAATGAACTGAGGATAGAAAGAAACCCCCTTGCCAAGCTAGCACTGTAAGCAGTAGTGTTTGGGGATGCAGACCAAAGGGGAGCTGCCTGTCACTCCTTGCTTTTTGGACCTAGTCTTGGAAAGATCAGCTTTCCTAACATTTGTCCTCTCTTTTCTTTCCCAGGGAAGGCTCCCATGCCACGGCCTCACTACAAACCCCAAGAACCCAACGGCTGTAGCTCCCATTTTCTGGGGCTCAAGGTACCTGAAATTGTATGTACTGTCCCACCCACCAACCCCACAGGATGCAGCTCTCCATCACATCACCAGCTCATCATTCTGAGCAAGGAAAAGGATGGGCTGGGCAGCTTGGTGACAATAACCCATGTGCACACAGTAACACCTGAGTGTATCCTCCACCTCTTCCCACACTTTTTGCCTTTGCCAAGCACTGAATGAAATCCAGAGGCTTTAATACTGCACCTGCTCGTTATCTTAAAGGCAATTAATGAACATATTGGAATCACCAGGAAAAGCCTTCCCAGGAGGCTCTCAGAGCAGGGATTCCTATTTAGCTCATGCATTATTGCTGCCCATGGAGTCTGTAGCAATTAGGCAGATTCCTGCTCTGACAACCCCTCTCTTTGCAGCCCATTTTTCCTGTTGGTTTTAATTCCTGAAACTCTATTTCACTGCAAACCTTGTGGGCATTTCTGTGGTGCCATTTCTGTACCCAGGCAATCACAAGTGTGATGAAGGAACAATTCATCTCCTAAATTTTACATGAGGAAGGGCAAAAAGAGGAATAATTCATAAGAAGCTAACAAGTCCAGTCTCTCCAGGAGACAGGCCTTCTGCCCCATCACCCCCAGCTAAGCTTACAGGGAGCAGAACTCCCCTGACCATGCTGTGCTGGTCCTTGGCATCAAGTGTATCTCTGAGAAATAAGACATTAAAATACTTGTGACATGTTAGGCCAAAAAGCAAGAACTTGTCAGGTTGTGGGAAAAAGAGGAAAGAAGTAAAGAGGCCTTTGCCACTGTTGGCAAGGACATGGAGCTCTCTGACAAATGAGAACTAGAAAATGGTCATGGAGGGGCTGTTTCCCACCTCTCTGCCAAACACTGATTCCCTGGGATACAGAGAGGAGAAGAGAATGTGATGTAGCCCTCACTGAGCCTGCACCACTGACACCACTGGGCTGCTCCCTCACCCTTCTTTACACTCCTCCTGCTGCCTGGCTCTCAGGAATAGCTTCTGGAAAAGGAGCCAGCTGGGCTCTGCAGCACCTCACCGCGTCACAGCTGTGTGAGCTGAGGCCAGGACTCAGCCAAGGGACACCTCTTTTGTCTTTCCCCAGCTAGACTTGGGCATCCCTGCCATGACCAAGTGCTGTAACCAGTTGGACATTTGTTATGACACCTGTGGGGCCAACAAGTACCGCTGCGACGCCAAGTTCCGCTGGTGCCTCCACTCCATCTGCTCCGACCTCAAGCGCAGCCTGGGCTTCGTCTCCAAGGTGCAAGGTAAGATCCTGCCTCACATCCCCTGTGCAGGGAGCCCCTTCCTTGCCAAAAAGAAGCAAAACTCTGCAGTAGGGAGCAGCATCTCTGTCCTGCACTTGTCACAGGCGGGTGAGAACACAGAGATCTGCCCCCTCTGCCACACACTTCTGTCCCAAGGCTGGAGATTTATGGTTATTTACATTTAGAAAGCATTACAGTGTGTGAAAAAAACCACAAACAACACTGGAAGTAATTCCTTCAAAACTTGGAGGCACTCCCAGACAGTTCAAACACCTTCATGGGATACCAGAATGCCTTCCAGGGCCATGAAGCACACACTGAAACCTGTACATGGCCAGGGGCCAGCAAAACTGAGAGCCAAGGACACGGCTCTCAGGGATTTGCTCACAGATAAGAGATGATGATGGCACCAGGGACACACCAGGCTGAGTGGTGGCTGAGCCACTGCAGGCAGCTCAGGATGGCTCAGAAGTGCTAGCAAGTTCTAGTGAGTTCAAGTGCCACCCTGGTTTTGCCTAATTTAAAAAGCCTCAGCCTGCAAGTCTGAGAAGAACTTCTTTGGTAACCTCTGCTGATGTCCTGCTCTAAGGTATCCTTAAATATGCATTTGTTTACCAAAGGTGCAGCCTCATTAAGACACATGGGAAGTCTGCATGACATCAGTAGATGTCTGTAGATGGCTTCCTACCTGGTCACAGATAAATTCATGGAAAGAGTGCCCAGGCCAGCAAGAGAAATCAAAGACGTGGACTGAGACAGAAGTGCTACAGGCTGAGCACAGCCAATCCTTCATGGTCACCCTTATCAACAACTCCTCATGCAGCCAACTTCTTCCCATCTCTTCAGAGTTTCCACTTTTTCGTATGATTCCTTCTTGCTCTCTGCTTGCAGCAGGAAAGCAAACCCAGATCCTAGGCAGTTAAGGTGGAGCAGAGCCCACACTCCTGGGCTGAGCCAAGCCACCTCTGCCAGGCAGGAGTAGATTCCTCCAGCATCTCTATCCTGGCTGCTGTAGGAGGCACAGGTAACACCAATGAACCTCTGAGCCATCCTCCCCTCACCTTGGGCTCTACAGATCCTGTCCCAGGGCTGCTCTGAGCACCTCCTGTCACAGTCCTCCTCCACAGCCATCTCTTATCTGGTATCCAAAGCCTTGGTTTTCCCACTGACTCACCACAGCCTCTCCAGTGCCTGCCAACTGAGCAGCCTCCTAAGGGAACAGGAGCTCTGAGGTGTTTGGACAGGTTGAGATAAAAGAAAACAGTCCCAAAGGCAAGGCTTTCCCAACTTCATCAAGCATACAGCTATCAGTGTTGGTGCCAGTAAATAAACCCTAAAGATTTATTATTAACCTATTTATTTACTGACAAGCACTTTCAGGGTTGTTTTTTGAGGTGAGGAGGGGCCAGTGGTCAGGCAGTCAGCTGCTCCAGCTGCTGTAGGGTTTTTCATGCTGGCTGGCAGCTGGCATCACAACTCCCAAAAAAGCCTAGAAAGGTTGGTTAATAGTGGCTATAGGCAAAACTGAGAAGAGAAGGAGTAATGTGGAGGCCTCCTGGGAAATCTGTTTGGTAAACAGTGCTGTTTGCAGAGCCCCAGATGATCCATCAACCAGTAGGGCCTCAAAGAGGCAAGAAAGGACGGGTTTAGGGGGGAGAGAAATTACTGCCACCCTGGGGAGAAGATGTGGCCACAGCTCTCTTCACAGAGAGCAGCAGGCACAATTTTTCCCAAGGATTTTTCCTGGGGAAGGCAGTGAGAAGCACAGAGAGAAGAGAAAACAATTCTTATCTCTATTCACTGCTCTTGTTGTTTTGCACATGTGAAATGTGTTATGGTGATTGTTTACCTAAAGTGATTTTTTAATTAGACACTGGTGAAGGTTGTTTTGATTCTTTGACCAATTGGATCTACGTGTGTCGTGACTGCCTGGAGACAGTCAGGGGTTTTTCTTTAGTATCTTTGTAGTATAGTATTTCTTTAATATAGTTTTAGTATAGTATTAGTGTAATATAGTACAGCTTAATAAAGCAATTGTTCAGCTTTCTAAATCATGGAGTTAGAACACATTATTCCCTGCATTGGAGTTACCCTGCATTGATAAGAAGAGAGAAGGGAGCCTCAGGATTTATAAAACTGCAGTTCTCAGAGAGAAAAGACGACAGCCCACGCTTCCAATGGCAAATGCCATGGAGCTCAGTGCAGGGCTGGGGCTGGGGTGCTCGGGGTTGCCTGTCCTTACCTGGCCACCCTGTCCTTCTCCACAGCCTGTGAATCCATGGCAGACACGGTGTTCAACGCTGTCTGGACCCTGGGCTGCCGGCCCTTCATGAACAGCCAGCGGAGCGCCTGCATTTGCAGCGAGGAGGAGCGCGATGAGCTGTGAGCAAGAGCAGCCACCCGGTGTCTGTGAGCCGCTGCCAGCACCCCTCTGCAGCACAGTGACTCCTGTCAGCCCCTGGGATGGGCACCTGGGCTGCTGCCAGTGCCCCTCTGCAGCACAGTGACTCCTGTCAGCCCCTGGGATGGGCACCTGGGCTGCTGCCAGTGCCCCTCTGCAGCACAGTGCCTCCTGTCAGCCCTCGGGATGGGCACCTGGGCTGCTGCCAGTGCCCCTCTGCAGCACAGTGACTCCTGTCAGCCCCTGGGATGGGCACCTGGGCCAAGGCACACATCCACAGCAGCCCTGGGGCAGGGCAGGGCAGGGCGGAGCCAGCCCATGGACAGAGGGCAGCCGTGCCTGCTGCCGATGCAGCTCCACAGCCCCAGCGCCCCTTTCCAAGCCAGTTCTCTCCAAAGCAAGCAGGATGCAGTGCTGCTTATAAACAGGGGACTTACCTTAAATACATACTATTGCCTCCCCCCACCCTGTAACTCTCTAATTTGCAGTGCAAGGCAGTAGGTTTCTGCAAGCCCTGTGAAATTCCCAGTCCATGGATATGCTATGTACGTTTTTGCACCGCTGGTGACAGACTGAAGAGGGGTAATTTGCTTTCAGTACATTGCTCACACCCATCCCTGACACTTTCCGTCCTGTCATTACACACTCTGACAACCCTGCATATTTAAATACTTGGTGGACCCTAAACTGATTTAGGACGTCTGGAGAAATCTTAAGCATGAGTTAAGGAGAAGGGCTTGAGGTGTTTGTGGTATATTCAGGACCAAAGCCCACCATTTATCAGATGTGAAATCACAGGCCTCTCCCCCAGTCTCAGGAGAGGAAGCCACTTTTCTTTGCCAGCAACATCCACATCTATTTAATTAATTTTCTCCTATAGCATTTAACAAAGCTTTGCCCCCAGGATCCTTTTTCACAGAAAATGGCTGGGTATCCACCTCTATCTCTTGCACGAGGGAAACAGGAGGCTCACAGTGGCCTTGGATAAGATATTCCAAATTCTGGAGCCTTATCTGTCAGGTGACAGGACTTATGTGCTACCTCTGCGGGGCTGCTGTCAGCAGCCTCAGACATCATTGCTTCTAAAATGTGGTTAATGCTCCCATCTGTTATGGGGAGCTTTTGTTGCATGCAAAACCAGAATTTAAAGTTGTGCATGGCATTTTGCCTCCACAGAACATTGGCAGACAGCTTTGAGCTGGGTTTCTTGTTGGAAGGATGTTGCTGCTGGGTGTGTGCGTGCCATGCCACGTAAATATTTCAGCGGCTCCTGCAAACATATTTATGGTTATGTTCTTCCATCTGCCACAGAGAAGTTAAGGCTGCAAAAGGGTGATTTAACAAGAGTGGAAAGAGTCTGTCTTGGTTGCTTTTCTTCCAGTTTAAATGGGTTTAAAATGTATGCATGGAGCTATAAATTATTTAAGCCCTGTATTCCTGTTCCTGCCAGTCATCTTTGCCTTACAGTGAACAGCAATGAGCTGTTCAGCTGGCCCCAAGTGGGCTGGAACAACAAGAGCCCCCTGGTACCCAGACCAGGAAAATGGAAGTGACTGCGTGAGGTGCACTGGGATGTTTTCCATCACAGAGGACTTCAACACTGCTCAGATGTAACGACAGCCTTTCCTAGCTGGGCTAATGCCACTGGAGAGGGAATTCTGCACTGCCGAGGTTCACCGCTCTGTCAGAGCATGAGGCTGGACAGACAACCTTGATTATCCAGCTAGGAAACACCTACTTTTGGCTAGGGATGGGAAGGAAACATTCCTCATTCCAGACACTGCCCAAACTTTATATTTTGTTGGTGAAACAGTGCCTGTGGCCAGTTTAAATGTGAACCTACTCCTATGATTAAATGACAAAAAAGAAGTTACAATAGCTATATTGTCTACGTTCAGTAGCTGACTGCATGGCAAATATATCAATTATCTTATAGTTCAAGTGATAGCAGATTAAAGCCAAGCAACTTCTGGCAGGTGCTGACATACACTGGAGAAATCAAAGGGTTCTGAACAAAGTCTCTGTTCCCAGATACTGATGTGCTGGGGACATCGCTAACATAAATCATCATTTCTCCCTGCTTTCAGACCACCATTCATCCCAAAACCCTAGAGACTGCTGCAAGCAGGCTAGCTACTGAATAAGTTCATTTTTCACTGTGCTAATCTGAAAAATCCCACCAGCAGCTCTGTGAGGAAATACTTGAACCTTCAAGTGGTGGCAGTGACTCTGGCAAAGCACCAGATAATCCTGTGCAGGAGCAAACCAGCGCATGAACGCCGTAAAACTGCAACCAAACTAAAAACTGCTTCCCCTCCGTGCCACTCTTGCTGTCCAGTGATGTACAGCCATGGAAGCAGCTGATCACAGGATTTTCCAGGTTGCTCCATGAACCTTGTGTCATGTTCAATTCTACCCTGCTCCGGACACAAAGACATGGCTTTGCTCATCCTGTGGCTTCCTCTGGACTTTGTGCATTGGCAGGATTGTTTTCAGCTGCAGAGTGGAAAAGCTGCTTCACATGAATTCATCAGGAAGAATGAAATAATGTGCACAATAACTGAAATAAGCCAGGAAAAGAACTTTTCCCTCCACCACTCCCCCCCACATCCCTTCTGTATAAACAAACAAGACCAGTTGATTCTCCAGAAGGCACCAGATAATTAATTTCATTTCCCAGCTCTCGTTTTATCAAAACAAATATATTTAGTGGAGGCTGTCTGAACAAAGAAGTGACAGTGGGAAACTGCCCCTGTGGTCCTAATGCAGATGTGAATCAGCAGAACAGCAATCCTAGGAGAAGCCTTTTTCCTTTCTTTTTCTTTCACATATGGCTGGATAACACATGAAAAGCATCTTTTCATTTATATCTACTTATCATCATAGAAATATTTTTGTTTACTCTAACACACACACACACATGTATTTCCAAGATTGAAAAAGCAGCCGTGAAGCTATTAAAAAAATTATTAAACTCTCAGCCATTAAAAGTTCATTCCTCACTGGAATCTCACTTGCCAAAACAAATAAATCTGTGAAATAGATTGAAATGTTTGAGGTGATTTGTGACTCCCTTCTAAATGGTCCCTTCAAATGGATTCCCCTTCCATTTGAGAGCAGCAGCAAATTTTGGCTTTTGCAGTAATTTGGCTGCTCCAAGCAAAGCAGAACACAGGTGATGAAGGCTAGGGGGCTTCCAGCAGACCTCCAAGCACACAGGACAGAGCTGCACACTGAGGAGCTTCTTGTAGAAAACCTTGGGAACACACTGCAGAGCCACTGCCACCGGTGGAGATGGATCCTTCTCCTCATCCTCCAGCCCTGCCTGTCCCACGGTGTCCTTCACTGCTGGCTGTGCTTCCTCCCTTCCCCACACCCTAATCCTTTAACACACAGCTCAATGAAGCCCAGAGAAGCCTGAGCTGATCACATCCATTATATTTTCTTCAGAAGGAGCTTGATAGCCCAAAAAGATTCCTGACAACCACGATGCCACCACCACCACCAGTAATTGTGTCCCCTGCCACGGCCACTCAGACAACTCTGCCTTGTCTCCTGTCACCAGGCTCACTGGGGACAGCCCTGTCCTGAGACACATCACCAATGATTGCTATAAATAATTAATGTGCATTCCTCTAATCCTCTGCTGGAACCACGGCCTCGCTAACCAGGGCAATGCATCACAACTTCCAGACAAACACTTGGCAGCAGCACGCATGGGAGGGGGTGTTTATAGATGTTTAATGGTGGCTCTCTTACAATCAAGGTGTATAGTAGCACTTAGGAAAGGCATTTTTGGTGGTGGGAGAAGAGGGAGAAGAATAATGATACACTAAATACAGGAGGAAACACTATTAAACTTCATGCAATTATCAAAAGCCCCTAAAAAATCAAATCTCCTTAAATACCTTTTGCTATTTAAAATCCCATTTGAATGTGCCTGTGATAGATCTGAGCTTTAGCTGCCTGTAATGACAATTGCATTGCTCCAAGGAACTTACACATGATGAGATATATTTTATACACGGTTTTATTAACAGTCACCTGAAATCCTCAGCATCACTCACAGAGCTGCACAGCAAACACACTCAGCTATGATACTGTTTGTACTGTCTGATGCAAGAAGGGCTTGGATAACATTTGTTTAGTCAAGGACAAACAGTCCTGGGGCCTGTAGGTGGATGTACGGAAAGGCAAAGTTGGGTAACACTTCCGGCCTGCAAAGAAACAGGGTCCCTTCAGCTAAAGGACTGTTGGGGAGAAATACAGATAAAACCAAACTGCTCTGCAGTCCAGGTCACACTCCAAGGGCTGCCTCATGGGCCCAAAACACTTGACAAATAACCACCACGGAATTAAGGAAATGAGTCCTGAGGTTCAAGCGGGGCTTTAACAAATACCTCTGATTTCTCAAACAACCACAACAGAAGACAGTGATAAGGAAGACCAGGGATGCTGTTCCAGAGGGTGGGTGTCAGTCATCAAAGTCGATCCTGATGGGGCCTCCTGTCAGGAGGTGGTTTGCCACGTGAACAGATTCCTTGTCCTGCTGCTCCTCCCGCTGCTCGGCCGACCTGCGCACGCGTCTCCGGCAGCCCTGGGCGCAGCGCGAGGTCTCGTCCAGCGCCCCGCACACCAGGATGCGGCAGTGCAGGAACACCTCCTGAGGTGGGGACACAGCAGCAGGGTCAGTGCACAGCTCTGGGGACCACTGGCACCGCTGCCAGGGCCAGTGCCACAGCGTGCCCGTGGCACAGGGTCCATGTCCAGCATCGCCGCCCGCAGCCAGAACGGCCGCTCCGTCTGTTTGCTTGTGTGCCCTCTCCAGAGAGCCTGGCTGCGGTCTCGGAGGCAAGAGTGGGGACACAGGGAATAGAAGGTGAGAAATGATCCTCCACATGAAGGGATGAAAATGGCAGGAATCAGCTTGGAAGAGCTCACGTGGACTGGCAGGAGCTGTGTGTCAAGAATCGTGAAGTCTCGCAAGGATTGATGGAGATGTGCAAGAGAATTTCAAGTAAGCTGGGAAAACAAAGCCAGGAAACCAAGGAGAATGCAGGGTGATGAGAGGCTAAGTTGAGGGAAGAGGGAGAATGCAAAGAGCAAGGAGACAGCTGCCTTTTCTCCTTGCACAGCACAGGCAGTGACAGGACTGCTGCTCCCTGCCCTGTGAATGACCAAGAGAGGAAGCACCATCTCTGCAAGCAGCAGCCACAAAGACTTGGAGAGGTTTGAAGCAGAATCCATTGTGCAGGATGGGAGGATGCAGGTTGGAGGCAGCAGGGATGATCAGAAAGCCAAGGAAAATTCCTGAATTTTAGAAGATCACATCTGTTTTAACCCTACTGGAGCTCTCCAGTAGCTGGAGCAGCAGCTTTATAAGTTTTGGAGCAGGCAGTGTTGGCTGAGCATAACAATGACTGGAAGATCCAATTTCCTCTAACACAGAAAGGAAAGCTATTTGCATTAGGAAAATGGCATTATCCTCCCACTGTCTTCTCACTACAGAGCTGCTGCCCCACAGAGACAGCCTGGTTTCACACTGAATTAAGCAGTATGGTGGCCTTCTGTCTGGAGTGCTGGCATCTGTACTCACAAGAGACACAAGGCTGAAGAGATCCCAAACTAAAAACTGTGTTGTTTTAAAGACCGGGCACTGTGACACGTGCCTGGTGACTGAGAACATTTCTCTCACCAAGCAAACAGAGGTCCACCAAGACCACCTTGGAAGCAACAATGATTTTAGCCTGCTGCTGCACTGATGTTCCAAAACTGTCCTTCATATTTCAATTTTAGTTGTTTTTAACAATCTCTCCTGAAGTACCTTTGTCAGGCTCCTGTAAGGTGCAGCTGCTGAACAGGCAGAGCTGCACCTGCCTTGGGTCACCCATTCCATACCCTTTTCCAACTTTGTGCTGAGGTTTCTCAGTTATATCAGAGCTGATGAAATATCTAAGAGTTGAGTTTTGAGCTCACCTTGTTGTCTTTGCCCACAAACTTGAACACAGGAACCTGGAAGTGCTTGGCAAGATGGTCCTTTGACGTGTACTGCTTCACGGAATCATCAGAAACACAGCTGAGGAGAGGAGAGGGATAGGCTTTAATGGCTTTCCCAGAAATGGAAAAAAGAAAGAGAAAAGACATTCCAGCCTACTTAACCAGAGAAAGAAAAGGAGGGATTGGTTCTCTCAGGCTCAGCTACCATTTCTGCTGCTTCCTCTTTGGCCACAGGAGAAAAGTCGGGAATGGTGGGGGAAAACAGCAGCACTGCTAATAGCATCTCCAGACAGGGAACAGCTCAGCAGCACAGGGCTGGCAGGACGTGGCCCAGTCCCCTCAGAGAGGCAAGTCTGTCCTCATTTCACCTCCCTGTGCAACAGCCTGCACTGTTATACACTACAGAATGTGCCCTGCACTTACTGTGTACACATAGATATGCACATAAATTATGCTTAAAATGAAGCAGCCTGCACCCACATTACTAAAATATGACAGATGATGAAAACAACAAAAATCCAGATTTACTTTGCTTTATATCATTTACATTTTTCTTCCTGCTGGATTTGGTCAAACAGCTCAAATTCATTACACTGAAAATTTATAATTTCAGTTTTTCCATCACTAGCAATGCATGATTGTAAGAGAGGTCACACAACTGCAGGAAAATAAGCTGCTTTTATAATAAGCTACATTCTAGGTGCAGTGCATTTATAAACTATTACTGCCTATTTAGAGTTTGACAGACAAAAAGTTATGCTCGCTCAATAATTACTACTGATTATTGCAAAGCCTTGGGTGTCTTGGGAGGTCCTGAAGCTGCTGTGAAATTGCATTGCAATGCAGCTCATCCTTTCTAGCAAGTTAATTTCGAAAATGTGGACTTTGAAAGATATTTAAAAAACCCCAACAATAAAGCAGTGTTGGAAGAGACGAGGTACTGGTGTGGATCAAAGCCTTGCTCTTGCAGCAAGCTTCAGCTCCCATCTTTACACGAGAAATGTGCATGGCATTGTCAGCAATGCTGATGTTTGACATGTTCAGCTGTAAAAGAGCAGTTCTGCCTTCACTGCAGCATTTGGGAGTCTCTTAAGTTGTCAAAATTCCTTTTTAAACAAGGCATCTGTCATAAGGAATGACAGTTAAAGACTTTTCAGAGGTGAGTGGCCAAGCTCTAGGGCCAAGAAGTCAACTCACAGGCATCTTCTCATTTGTGAGCATATAAACTGTGATGATTATTGGACACTGCCTCAAAATGACTCCTAAATCCTAGGCTTTCCAAAGGTTCTCCACGCTGGTGGAAGGAAACCTACTGGTTTGGGGCTAGGGAGAGGGAACGTGGGAGAACACCACAAAGGAGTCAGAGATACGTAGACAAAACCAGCTCAGAAACCTCATGAGTCACAAGGGCAACTCCTTTTGCATTTGTGAGGCCAGACCATATCCCACTCTGCTAGGAAACCCCCAGAGACCCTTCTGCCCACTTTGGAGAGGTGAGAAGAGGCAGGTGTGGAAGGAAAAGGGGTGGGCCTGGTCGGGATATGGGGAAAATCACCCTATCCCTGTGCATAATGCGTTTGGGGAGCAGAGTGGCAGTGCCATGGGAGCTGTGCTCTGATCCTCTTATTCAGGGTTGCAAGGCTGAAAGGAGCAGGCTTGCACAATGAAATAGCCACCTCAGTCCAGCAAACAGGGCAGCCCGAGGCATAAGAAGATGAGCTTTGCAATGGAACTACCTTAACCACCCTGTGCTCTGCTGAGCCACAGCTCCTGACCTCAGCAGTGACATGACCTGGCTCCAGATGCCCCAGAGAGCTCCGGTTTATCAGCTGTGCCATCGGTCACTGCCTTTGTTCCACTTGTTTTCAGAAGGCAGGGAATTAACAGAGAAGAGAGCAGTAGAGGGAATTTTCCAATTCCTCAGTCCAGGGTATATCCCCTCCAATATAAATAGTGTTTCTCTTTGGATTATGCAGTTAACTCTTGCAGGTCTGATCCTACATAAACTGATTAAAAAATCTCATTTTTATTGCCATGGGCTTTTGGGGCTGGATTTTTAGAAGGAAACTGAGTTACTACAGAAGTGTTTGGAGCAGGGACAATTTACTGCTTTCAGATAATTTAATTTTGAATCACTGGGGCCTGCAGTGATGGCTGCAGAGTGGAGCACTTTTCCCTTCAGTGAAGTTTTAATGCCCTCTGCAGGTACCAAGGGACTGCTGGTGCCATAAATCCTCCAACCCGTGCTGGGGTGAATTCAAAAGATGACATTTCCTGCTTCCTCCCTTCTCTATCCAGCTCAGGTTTTGGCTGCTATTTTGAATCCCATCATTATCACTTATGGGGAGAAATTAATGAATGTTTGAGGCCTTGACTCTTGGAAGGGTCCACAGGAACAGCCAAGCCAGGGAGCTGATAAAATCAATTTTTCCATTACAGATCTGCTCATAAAGGCCAGCAATGTTGGGCACAGAAGGACTGCAGCCTAGGATGCAGGGAGAGCAGGCTAATGCTGAATCCTCTGTCATGAGGAAATGGAAACAGTATTTTTGGGTACTTTACATTGCAGGACCCTTTTGCTACAAGACAACCACACCAGACTTTGCCAGCAGCAGCTGTAACAGTGGATGATTAGTCTGGCAGCTGAGGACATGATTGTTGTCATCATTGAATGGTCTGGCAGGCAACATACAGGATTTACACAAGCACAGTCCCTTGACTCTCAGGCTACAACTCTTGGGTATGTCTTAGATATTCCTTTGGCTGGATTTCCCTCCCTAGAGGACAGCAGACTGCCTCACAACTAGGACATTTCCTCAGAGCTCTCTGGTTAAGCAGCTGGATGCAAACACGCTGCAGCAATGCTGTAGCATGGCACAGTCATTTCAGCACCCAAAGAAGTGTCTGAAAAGAGGGATCATCTCAGGAGCCACAGCTGAGCCCACAGCAAGGCTCCCCAAAACTCTGGTGCAAAAACCACTACAACAGCAAACCTACAGATCTGCACAAAAACTATTTTTAGCATATCCTGGAATGATCACCAACCCCAAATACCTCAAAAAATTACAGCCAAACGGAAAGACCCTGAGTTTATTGCACTGACAGGCATCAGGGAGAGTAAAGCAAGGGATTCTCCTGCAGCTCCTACCAGGACTAGCAATGGGCTCTTTTGGCTCGTGCTGTAATAAGGCCATTATGAGAAAATCAAGAAACTTGCTCCAGCTGCTGCAGCAGCTGCCTGGCAGCAGCACATGGCCATGGGAGTTCTGCACATTGGCTTGGCACTCTGTGGCTGGCAGAGAGAGGGTGTCAGGAAAGAGAATCTTTTCTGCAGGAGCCAACTCAATTATCCACAAGGCTAGTGACAGGGAAATACATCCTGCAAAGGCTGCACTCAGAGGAACTTCTGTCACTGCCTCCCACTGTTTCTCCCAATTACTTTTGATGGGAGAGGTGGTTTCAGCTTGATGGCTGCTGGTGATTGCTATGACCAGGACAGACAGGCTGCTGTGGAGAGCGGGACAGCGTTTCCTGCATCACACAGACAACTCAGCCTCACTGCCAATTCCCTCTAAATTGCCAGCAAGAGAGGGAACAGTGAACTCACCCGTCTTGAATCAGGTAGTACTTCAGGATCTCATCAATTTTGGAGGTGGGAGTGGCAAAGCAGCTCTCCACCAGTGTCTCCAGTCCACTAACGTGCACCAAGGGCTCAATCCCAAAGTACAGGGAGTCCCGAAGCTTGAGGGTGGGAAGATCACCCCTGTAGGGCTCATCAAAGTCTTTGTCCTTGAAGATCTCCAGGGTGAAGGGGAAGACGCCCTGGTTGCGGCTCATGATTTCCAAGGGAGAGTTCTTGAGGTTGGGCACGTAGCCCTCGGAGATGGTGTAGCGGCGCGGGAACTCGCAGGTCACCGGGATCAGCAGCTTGCTGGTGCGCACAATGATGTCCCCGTTGCTCCCCGGCGTCTGCTTGGGCAAGCCAGTCACCAGGTTGGTGGCAATGATTTTGTCATTGATTACCTGCAGCAAAGAAAGGGGAGATCATTGAGAAAGACCTCTCTGGGCTGACACTGAAGAGTGGCCACTGAAGGCCCAGCTTGTGAATTTACACCCCACAGCCAGAACGATGCTGCTCATCCTCACAGACCTCACAACTAAGGACCTCGGTCTGCTGGCAATGCACCGCACTTCTGCTACCCCTCTGCTAAGGTGAGCCATTGACCAGTTGCCAGTTTAACCTTTGAAACATTATCAGGAGACCAGAATCTGTCTTAGCAGGAGGATGAAGAGCGAGGGCACTTGTTCCTTCTACCCTCATGAAGCAGGAGGTGAGCAGAAAGCAGCACCCATGCTGTCGGACACACAGTGCTGGAGGGGGGATGGAACAAGCTCTCTGACTGTGGAATGCCAGCCCAGCTCTACTCTGAGGACAGCTGCATGGCAACACAGGAAAGGGCTCTGAGGGTGTAGCTAAATCAGCTTTGTTCCCCAAGTAAGGCACAGCCAAATCCCAGAGACTGGGCACTGGGTATACATACATCTACAACGGTTCCACAGGACTTCAGGGAGAAATGGATGTTGACATGAGTGCCGTTGGACACGCCTTTGCACGAAGTGTTGATGAGGGAAAGGTCCAGGCCTCCAACCAGGTCCTTTGGGATGTTCACCTCAATAGAGCTGGACTTGCACAGCACTGGAACTGCAAGAGAAGTCCCCAGAATAACAGTCTGTGCTACAACCATACCAGTGAGCTGGAGAAGGGCTATACCAGATATAACTGGGGGAATAAAAGGGGAATCATAGACAGCATTTATGATTATCATCCTACCACAGCAACCTAACCACCCATCTTGCATTCCCACCTACACAACACAAACCAGGCCTGTCACTGCCCCAAATTCTCCAGCCACAGCAATGCCTCAGAAAACAATGAAGACAATCATTGCACTTGCAGCAGAAACTTAGCTGTGCTTTCCAGCTTTACTTAGCACTCAGCACAGATTTTGTTGGTATCTCTTGCACTGTGATGTCCTGGGAAGAGCCTTTGCCAGATATGGGTATCAAATTCACAATGCCCCAGGCAAAACCATTTTTTAAGACCCTTAATCAGATTTTACATCAAACCCAGAACACGCTGAAACAAGGCAGAGTAATTCCATATAGATACCGAGCTAAAATGGATGGACCTCAAAATGCCATAATAATATTTTTATAAGCAATAAACCCAGCTCTGACAAACAAACCAAATTAGCTCACTCATTCCACCTCCTTCCAACCTTTAAATTTTAATACAGGCCTCCGTGTGAATTTTTTAAATTAAAATTTCATTACATAAGAAGCAGGAGAAAACAGACCTTGGACAAAACAGAAAAGGAAAGAAGAGAGAATAATCTTCAATAAAAAAGTAGTTGCTGTACATATATTCCTTGGGATTATTCAGTTCAGTTGGAGACAGGACAAACATACTGGTGGCATATATTCTGGTTTCAGCCAGAAAAAAAACCAAACCTTTTGCAGGATTTACATTTATTATATTTTAAAACTCCACGACAAAACCTTTTTGCAAATATACCAGTTTCCTGAGATTTTTGCCAAAATTAATTGCAGCCCCAGTCCTTGACATTCCTGTGACCTGCCTTCCCTTAATTTCAATCATTAATTATATAATTTAAGATTATGGATATTTGAAATAAGACACACTGCTAAAACAGGCATTTCAACTCCCTTTAAAAATTTCCCTGTCCCAGCAACAGTCTCTGAGTACCTTCAGGGAGGATTTTTGATTAAAAGTTGGTAATTTCAAAGTGATATGCTAAAATGTATGCAGAGTGCCCAAAGCAATATGTTCCCATAATGACACTGCTGGGTTAGAACAGAAGCTTAAAGAACTAAAAATTACCTTAACCTTCCCTGCACTGGCAGCAGAAGGCAAGTGGGAATAACTGAGCATGTCAAATGGCACAGCTCAGGAGCAGACAAAGGGACTTGGAGAACACAGCATAATGCAGACAGAGGAACATCCTTTGGAGAAATGATTGGCTCCATCTGGGTTTAAGGACTCGCTGTTCTAGCACTCCTTGAAAAATAAGAAAATGTACTGCTTTTATAAAGGTGACATTCAGGGCAAGAGATTTGGATCCCAACTGCAATTCTCCGAAGTTCAGGACTGATTTAGTTCAGGATCTCTCTGTTTCTACATGTCTTTGACTGGCACAAAGTGGGAGAAAGAAAAGATTCCATTTTCCCTGTGCTTCAGAGCTGCAGGAGCTGTGTGACCTCCATCACCTGGACAAAGAAACAAGGGCAGGAAACCTCTTGACTCAAGCCAGCTCGTGGCTATTTGAGAAAACACCCAGTGTGTGCCAGTCAAACATTTTAGTTCTTCACCTCATACTTCTCAGAGCACCTGTGAGAGATGGGAAAGCCTCCTTATTTCCACTTTAAGCTCTGTTTTATGCTTCTGAGCATCTGCCCCTGGGAGGAAGCTTCTGTGGCGAGTCCAACACTCATTTCTCTGTTTGCCGTTGTTACTGGCACCATATTCCAGCCTCTGGCCCCTTCCTTGGCCTTTCCAAGTGCTGCTGCTTGGAGCAGAGGCTACCTCCCTGCACAGACTGTTCAGCAGAACAGGCTCTCTGCTGCTGGGGAGCCCTGACCCACTCCTACAACATAAACCTTGCTTACCTGCACAAAAATTCGGGCAGGGGATGGGGGAGAAGAGCATTTCATCCCTACTCTTCAGGAAGAGGTGGGGTACTAGGATGGGCTACAAAATTCTAGGATGATCTGCAAAATTCCAAATATTTTGCTGGCCGGTATCTTTATGGAAAAATTGCAGCCTGTAGACTGTGATTTCTGTGGAAGATTATTAATGTTTGTTCTGAATGTGGAGACAGTGCAGAGGAGGGTAGAGAGGCTGCAGATCCAATTGCTTCAGGCTACTGTGCCTACCCTGCACTGTTAATTGAACCAATATAAACCTGATTAGGTGTCACAAAAAAATTGTGTGGTACAGTTCCATATCTGCTCAGAATTGCAGGCCACAGCATGGGGACATAAATTGATGAATGCAAAAGAACAGGCAATTTCACTTTATGAGATGCTGTATCCTGAGCCCCTGCCTGGCTCCCAGCAGTGCTGCTGCTCTCATTAGCAGCCTCACCAGCAGCAGAAACCCTGGCTGGGAAATCCAGGACTTCCAGCCCTGCTGGGGCTGCCTCAGGGGCCCAGGACTGAAAAACATCACTCTGTTCTGGGCTGGATCCATCAATCAGACCTTCAATCAGTGAGTGTGATCACAGCTCTTGGAAACCCCCACCTCCACCTCCCCACCAGCACTGCTGGATCCCAAGTGGGCAATGCTCACCCCTAGGAGCACTGCATTTCTAAAAAGCTTAAAAAGCAGAAATTCCATCAAGCAGAACCATTCCAACTTCCTCTCTGAGGCATACCTGCCCTTTTGGCCACCATGAAGCCCAAATCTGTTCCTCCCACTGATGTCTGGGCAGTCTGTGGCACATCAGACTGCAGGAGGTTCTCTGAGCACACCAGAGACTGCTGGTAGCCTGGATGTATTTGCAAAAGAAATCTTTGCAAAAAACCAGGGAGCTTGTTTATTCCAGGTGCATGCCATAGGCACAAGTGACTCAGCATGAAGGACTCCCTGTGGAAAGTTCAGATGGAAGGTTCTCCAAGGATAACGCTGTCCTGGCCTCTACACAGCAGAAGCAACAGTCAATTTTTGGATGCTATCCTGGGCACTTTTCCAAGGGGCAGCAGGAGCTAATATCAAAGCTAGTGCCCTGCTTCAAGGCACAGGAATGCTTACTGGAATGGCATACTTGGAAAAAAACATGCCTCTCTCTTTAACCCTGTTCTTGGAAGGGACTGGACCGCTTTAGCTGAGAGTTTGAAGTTTGGAGCATGGAAAATGTCAGCTCTAACAGCATTAATTTGTCAGGGGTGTGCACAGAGCATTATAATGGGAGATGTTTGTGGGAAATAGCAGAGGTAAGAAGATTTCCAGAAAGCTGTAAAAGAAGGCCTAAGAAACAGAAAGAACAGAGAACCAGCTGCAGCTGCAAAGTCTGAAAATAAAGAAAGTTACAATGGTATAGCAAGCAAGGACATTAAACTACAGCTTGAGTTTTAGGCTTGGCTAAGAGAGACCTTAAAACTGCAGGAAAATATGCTAAGCAAGGTAGTAGAAGGTTTTAAGCTTAATAATGATTTATTGTGCATTGCTAATAGAAAGAAGACAAGCAAGCATTGTGTGAAGCAGGTGTACAGGTCCTTTTAGTAACTGGCTAGAACAATTGTCTGTAAGCTTTAGCAATATGCTGTTGGCTAGAAAGTTTTTAAAATGTTCTGTAACAAAGAAATCTTTGGCTGCTTCTGGCTGCATGTGAGCTTTTGCTATCTTCCTATTGTCTCAACCACGTAGTGAGGCTGATGCTGCAATAAAAGCTCAAGGATTGTACCCCAGCAGAGCTGTTCTGTTCATGAAAACAAACTCCAAACACAATGTTGAGCAGCATTAGTCATAAGGGGACACTGCCCTACAATTAACATGATACAAGATTCACTCAAGCTGGGCCCTGTGGCTGTTCTCCTGCCTGGAGAGAAGAGCAACATCTTCAAGCTCTCACCTTTGGATAGTCTGTCATTGGTAAAAAAGCTCTATTAACCCAACTGGAATGGACAGACTAAGAGAAGACAGCAAAAACAAGAAGAAAAGTTTCTTCAGACATTCTCTCGGGGGACAGAGGCTGACAGGGAGATTTCGTTACCCTTTTTGACTTACCCTGGCAAGTGTGGTTGTCTTCTGACAGCACAAGTCCCCTGGGACATTCACACTGGTAGGTGCCTTCCACTTCAATGCAGGTATGGCTGCAGCCTCCATTGTTATTGTGACAGCCTTCAATTTCTGGGGAAGAAAGGAAAATCAGCACATCCCACAGGCCCCACAGACCCCTGACCAAACAACAGTCTGAACAATACAACTCAAAGGCAACAGTTTGTCTCCCAGAAAATGAGATGTAAACCCCTTTTTTAATTGTACTTTAGCATCATGATTTTTTTTCTTTCAAATAACCTTAACTGCTTGATTTTTTTAACCCTTTGGGATGAATATGCTAGATGAGTACTACTGTTCCCAGTAAAACAACAGAAATGAGATAAGCAAATCATAAATATAAAATATTTCTCCCCGAGCCTGCCATCAGAAATCACTGTGTGGCTTTCACTGAAATGTAAATAGAAATCCCACACTCAATCCCACACAATGCATGGAAAATAACAGCCCAAACACCCCATGTGAGTCAAAGCAATGGGTAAAGCATCATAATATAAATTTTGAGATACTTTAAATCCTACTCAGCCTCACCAACTGATGTGATCAAGCTAAATCTCTCGCATTTTTTCTTTTTAGCAACAAACTGTGAGGTGGCTCTCACCTCACATCCCATCCTCTACCAGTTCACAAAGCTGAGGATACATCTTCAGAAATAAAACTCACTAACAAGATTGTAAAAATCCCCAGCAGCAGTGTTAAACTCGTGAAAGGCACCATCCTTCGTACAGAAGGGAAATTAAATGATATATCAAAGGCCCTAAAAGCCACCTTGGGGAATGGCAGAAACAAATGAGTTTCCAAACAGACTATTCCAGCCCTGTCAGAAGAGTGCAGCACTAGGGAATAAAAATTGCACAGCTCATTTATGTGATGCCCCAGCAGCTCAGAGCTGGATGTGGCAGGGACAAAGCCCACAGACCATTTTTGGCCCCACACAACTTGACAAGTAACTTAAGGAGCACTCTGCACAGCAGCATTTCCCAGGAAAGTGTCACTGCCTGGATGAGTTATGTACCAGCAGAGCTCAGAAAGCACATTTAGCTCTTTTGGGTAGCTGAAAAGTGAGGCACATCTGTAGTTGTTTTCCTTGTCTGAGGCCCCACAGTGTCTGTGAACAGCACACAGCAGCTATGCTGTGAGGGGGCACAGTGCTTTTCCACAGCTCACCACAGAAAACATCAGGCACACATCAATTTCTGCTGGGTTTGCCTATTTCTGCTTAGGGATGTTTTTATATTGTTAGTGACAACACATCAGGCCCACAATTTGGTCTTTAAGCTACCAGTCTAAATTTATCAAGGGTTTTCAACACGGCTGTGCCACCACTGTGAAGGAACTGTGGCAGCTGCACAGAGCAGCAGAGCCCACAGACACCAAAGATCAAAATGCTGCCCTAATCCCAAATCTGACCTCTGTCTGCAGAATGGCACCCCCTCTCCTCAATCTCTATCCTGGGAGGCTAAAGTGATCCTCATGCTCCAGTCTAATGTCATGATATTACCCCATACCTAATGCGAGCTGCCAAAATCCAGTGCAGCTAAATCTGCCCCCACAAAACTCTACTACACAAATCTCCAGAGATTCAAATCTCCAGATATCAAATCCCAACAGCTGCAGCAACAAGTTCTGCCTGGATAACCAATCTTCCAGATCCACTGCTGCCTTTCCCCACGGAGATAAACAGAAGCAAATCCTAACAGAAGTGAACAAGGCACTGAGAACAACAAGGAGATTTCTCTCCGCTTGCTTAGAAGGATATTTTAATATCAACCCCTCTGGCAAGCACAGAGGTGATATCAGTGACATTTAATCCCAGGTGCAAGGAGCCAAGAGAGAGCCAGTGCTGCAATGGAATGATTTATAGAGCTTGCAGCAGGCTGTGGTAGCTGAAGCCTCACCTTCACAGGTTTTGCCATCGCTTCCCAGCGTGCGCCCGACCCCGCACTCGCAGCGGAAGGAATTCTTCAGGTTAACACAGAACTCACTGCAGCCCCCGTTGTTCTGCTCACACTCATTTTCATCTGAAAAAAAACCCAGCTCTGGAATGGAATGAATAATCCCACTACAAGTAGTAACACTGACAGTAGCTTTTGAATCTCTTTGTAAAGCTCTGAAAACTCCTCCTAATGTTTTTTAAAGGCTAAAGTGGCTCTGTGTCTGTCTGCCCTTCTTTTTACTTTGAAAGGTACTTTGTTCTCTGAGATTCTAATTTCTCAACCTGATTTAATCTCTGTGTGCAAAAAGCAAATCAAACAGAGAGAAAGGAACAGACATTGCTCTTGCTGAGCCACAGAATGAATGATTTCTCTTAGGCAGGCCAGGATGCTGAAGTTATCAATTAAGGTTCACATGGGGTTTCATCAAAACAGCTTAGAAGCTGGCATTTATTAGGTGTCAGAAGCTTAAAACTTAGAAAAAAAAGTATCATTTTAACAGACAGGTCAGAGATGAGCTCTCTCATGTATCTGTGGTCCCACACACACACAGAACCCACAGCTGGCAGCTGCTGATGGTGTCTCCTTCCACAAGCAATGTGAATTGAGTATTTTTAGCCAAAGGCTTGGCTGGTACCTTGCTTTGGGAGGCAGGAAGCATGTCCAGGAGACCCCCACAGACACTCTGCTTTTCACACATGTGACAGGCTCCACACTTTCCCTTCTAAAAATAAATCTAAAGTGTTTAAGAGTGCTTAAGAATAGAAAGTGAAGAGGGAAAGGGCTACTGCCAAAGGCATGGAGATGTTGTTAGAAGGGCCTAGAGATTGTCTTGGTCAAAGGCTGAGCCCAGAAATTCCCCTGACTGGTCCTTCCAAGTTCTACAGCACACACAGATCTCTGTCCCTGCTCTTCCCCACTGGTGACAAGCAGCACTTCTGGGATGCAGGCTGGTTCTCTTGAGACTGGATTGGGACAGTGCTGGGCTGATGTTTACCATGGCTCAGTGGGACATAGATCCAGGCATTGAAGAAGTCAAAGGCAATGCACCAAGTTGGTGAATGCGTGACAGGAAGTCTAAGACCTTATTTAACCCACAAATGGAAATGTCACTCAGGATCAGCTGCTCTGCTCTGGGATTTAAAGCATCTAATGTACTGAGGAGAAGCACAGGGAGGTGCACAGAGCTGCTCACCCTTCACAGAATGGTCTGGGTTGGAAGGGAACTTAAAGCTCACCTTCTTCCATTCCCTGCCACTATCCCAGGTTGCTCCCAGCCCTGTCCAACCTGGCCTTGGACACTTCCATGGAGGGGCCAGCCACAGCTGCTCTGCTGCATTATTGCAGCAGCTTCAGTCCCCCTCTTTGGGGGAGCTGGGAAAGGAAGCACATTCTCTGTTTAGGAAAGACAAACAGGGATTTATTTGGTTTCTCCATAAGGAGGGCACAGTTGCTCTCGGAGATGTGATTGCACAATTACTCAGCACAACAGAAAGTTATTAGAAAGATCATGGAGAGAGCCTCACAAGAGAGGCTGCAGGTAGGTGAACCAGTGTGAGCATTCCAGCTGAGGTGCTGTGCCACCTGGGAATCTCAAGGAGAAGCAGCAGCGCAGAAATCCTGCTCATGGGGGAAGGAAAGCAGCTGCAGCACACACAGACAGGCTCAGGACTCCTGTGTGCCTCCCCGCTGCAGGAAATCCTTTCCTCTGAGCCTGCCACACATTCACTGAGTGCTAGTGCTTGTCAAGGGCACTTCTGTGACTGGAAGGCTTGCACAGAAGCAGCCAATAAATGCTTTTAATTATCTGAGAGAGCTCAGTCAGCCACTTGGCTGCAGACAAGTGGAACTGCTTAAGCAAAAGCCTTCCCCAGAATCATTGGGAGTAAGTGTCTGCAGCAGGACCAGGCTGCTCCTTCCACACACTGGAATGGCTGTGGGGCCTGCCCTGATGCTCACAGACATGAGGTGTGTGGAGAAGGAAACCACCCACGCCTGCTTTGTCAGGTGTAGCCCCTGTGGAGCAGACTGACCTGCCACACAACCTCCTGGACCAACTCTGCCTTCAGCTTCACCAACAAATCAAGTGACAGATGAGATTCCTCCTCCCCCAAACACCCTTTCCTCCCTCCTCTCCCTATCCCTCAGTGTGGCTCTGCAGCTCCCCAACAGCCACCCCTTCCCAGCCCCACGATTTGTCCTATCATTTTCCTGACCTCTCAGTCCAGGTGCTCTCTCCCAGCACCACACACACAACCACAGCCACTTTCTCTCCTCAGAGCTGCATGGGGATTCCCCCACAAATCTCCAAAGCCCACATTCCCCAGTCTGCTCTCACCTCCCTCCTGGCCATGCTGGTCTCTGCCACCAAGTGCCAGCTCCCTGAATATGCCCTTGTCATGCTGCCTAAAACCACTGCAGCTGTGGTGAGACTTACAGTTCTTTGGGTCTCCTCAAGGCCCAGGCCCTGGACAATGTCCCAAAAGGGCAGGAAGTATGATGGAGTTTAGTGTGCAGCCCCACAGCAGCCAGCAAAACTTTTTTTGGAGGAGAGATATTCAACAGAATGTGTGAGAGGAAATCTCTAACGCCAGCACTTCCTGAGTGCCACAGTGATACCACAGAATCCTGCACCATGATCTCGCAAAGAGACTCTGCTACTGCAGCTGAACCATGCAGAAAGCAAATCCAGCCTCACAAACATGGAGCTCCAGGGGCACCAGAATGGATGCAGTCATGGGATGTCATATCTTGGAACCATTTACAGAATCATAGTCCTGGTTCTAGGCAGCAAAGGGGAAAACTGCTCTCAGGATATGTCATTTTTTATAGTGCTTTGTAAGGCAAGGGATTGAGATGTGAGCAACAAAACAAAGGGAAGAAAAGCATCAGCAAGTGGCACAGCTTATTTCCACCCTTACCAAGGCATGTCTGGCCATCAGGTCCGAGTGTCGTACCCGGGGAACACGTGCAGTCACCGGTGTCCAGGCAGGAGTCCTGGCAATCCACCACATCACAGATGTCATAAAAATCTAGGGCATGACAAGAACAAGGTCAGCACAAAGGCCTGAGCATGCAAGGAAAGCACAGAATATGTCCCTTCAGCTTCCCACCCTGTGCGCAGCCCCTCAGTTACAGACCTGGCCCACGCTGAAAAAGCTGACCTGCTGAAGCTGCTGAGAAACAATCAAGTTTAATTACTGCTAGGCAGAGATGCAAATTTTGACTTCGGTAGTGCGCCAAGACAAGCCACAGGGCCCACAGGGAGCATTAAATCACTGAGGCCAGGTGAGCTGTGGAAAAATCCTGCTAGAGGAACAAAGCAGGTGAAACCGCCTCGCTGATCCTCCAGGGGCAGGCCACCACCTGGAGAAGCCAGGCAGCCTCCTGGGGACCAAGGAGGGCTCAGAGAGGTGACTTACGCCCGCAGTAGGCGTGGAAGCAGACGCTGGGCTTGCTGAGGTGGTACACGTAGTACCCCCCCGGGCAGGCCTTGACCTCGATGCTGGTGTTCCAGAGGCAGCAGTTGCCGCTGAAGCTGGCGCAGGCCTGGCGCCGCACGATGCCGTCGGCCGGGCGCGGGTGGCTGCCGTTCATCCAGACGGGAGCGTGGGTGCCGCAGTGGTTCTCGGGGATGCAGAAGGTGGGCATGGCGTCGCCGGCCATGCCCGTGAAGCGGTACCACTCGCCGTCGATGCCGCTGTCGCACGTGGGCCGCCCGTGCGAGCCGTTGATGCGGTGCTCCGTGTTCCTCCAGGGCTCGTTCAGGCTGATGTAGGCGGAGCAGGGGTCCAGGGCTGGGACACACAGAGAGAGCAGCTGGTAGATACCAAACCGAGTTGTTGATGGATAATTACAAAAGGGTTTGTGGTTTTTTTTTCTCCCTGGCTTACAGAACCGTTGTGATCTGTTCTCAGCACTGGGGAGAAAAGGTGATACCTGCAAACTCACTGCCTTGTGGAAAACCTTGACAGCTTGCCTTAAAGGTCTTGGAGGAACAAGTAAATTAACAGAGCTCTTAAAACATTATGCAACAGTCTGACTTGCTGTTTAGCTGACAGGGAAAAAAACAAGATACAAGCAAATCTGAGGTCTAGGTAATGATTTTGCCATAGGAAATACGGTCTCGGATCTAGCCTAGGACAACAAGCCTTTGTTCAAGTAGTAATTGAGCACTTGCAAGCCCCTCCTGAAGTCACTGGTAACTCTCCCAGCTTGGAGAAATTTACCAGAAAATTGGTAAATCTCCCAGCCTTGGAACAAAGAACTATATCTCAAACAGGTTATACAGCCTCTTTTAAACCCACCCAACTACAGCCAATGTCAGTCCTCACAGCTGAGCTGCCAAACCTTTTTAATCATTATCTTAAAATCTAGAGGGGATGAAGGTCTGGATTGGGACCTTCTGGGGAGCAACACATTAAACCAAACCCTCTACACAGCTCAGCAAGCTCACAAACCCTCCTGTTCTGCACAGGAGATCAGCTGCTTGTGAGTGAAGTGAAGTGAGTGTTCGTGGGGGCAAGACATGAACACATGGACTTCCTGGCAGTGCTCAAGGAGTGTGTCCCTTTCCAGAGGCCTTTCTGAACCTTCTGCAAATAATTAAAATATGAGAGCACCAGAGGGAGAACATAAATGAAGAACTTAAGTGTTCATTAAATTTTCAATCTACTCCTAATTAACCCTCATTTGGCAGCTTCCTCACTGGAAGTCCAGAGGTTCCACTTCGCCTTAAATTTAATACCTGATTAAGCACAACTTAGCCATGACAAGCAATTCCCTATTAAGCAAAAGGAATGCTAATACTGCACCGAGTAAGGAAAATTGATTACCATTTCCTAAAATTAGGCTAATAAAACCAATCACTCTGACAAAATGAATCTTGGACTGGAACAGCCTCAACTTTCCACAGCACATTTCTTTTAAAGTTCTAAAGCTGTGCTGTTTTGACAATAGTGTGATGGAGTTTGGGTGAGGGAGGAATACTATGCTCTTTCTACTAGAAACACAAATCATCCTGGCTCATTATTTTGATTTGTTTCACTGACTTTAAAGTGGGAGCTACAAGTGCTTCAGAGAACAGACTTCAAGTCACTCTTATTTAGCTGTGTCTTCTGTAAATATCTGTCCCACAGATGTGCTACCTGGAAGAAATATCTCACAAATACAACACCTCTCATGCCTCCCTCAGCCACAGATACATTTTGCTTGGTCTCAAATCCAGCATAAAAGGCAGGAGCAGCTGCCAGGGTCAGGAGTGCTGCAGAGCTGGCACAGGGAGCGTGGATCTGGGTTATGGAGGAATCTCCAGTGGCACGATTCAAAGACATGCAGAGGAGCTGGTTCACTGTCACCACAACCAGCCTGGTTCTCCTGAGCAGCAGAGAGGGGAATGCAGCAGGGAATCTCTGATGGGATTCACCAGGCATCCCCTCCTGAGCTCTCCTTTTCACCTGCCTCTGCTTGCCTGCCCTTTCCCACAGACAGCAGCAGCAGTACTGTAAACTCCATCCTCCAAAAGCTGGCTTGACTTCTCCCAAAAGGGAAAAGTAAAACAGAGCTTCCTCTGGGCTTCCCTCAGTGTCATTCCCTTGGTTTCCACAAGAGGATTTGGTGTGGCCTTAGGGTGAGTCACCGAGTGAGATGAGAAGGTTTTCGTGTTGTTAAAAGCCAAATGAGGTGAAGCAGAAATGCCCTGTCAGCTTCCCAGCTGGGCAGCACTAAAAATACCTACACTCTCATTAGCTTCCATGTAATTATGAAATATCCTTTGTAGACAGACTCTGGGAATGCTCAGCTAGGGAGATTACGTTGTCTCCTAAATATCCAGGAGATAATTTAAAGGCAAAATTTATTGAGATGAACATGCAGCAGCTCAGAGGGAGCTGGAAGAAGGCACATCAGGGGAATTGAGGTAGCATTCCTTCACATCTTTCATTCCCCTGAGAGCTTCTGGCAGGAATGAGGGGAAGCAAACAAGCAGAAAAAGCAGACAGTGCTCTTTGGAACACTGCACAACCTCACAGACACCTCTGGACTGCCAGTGCTGCCCCACACCAGCCTCCCTGTAAACACCAAGCAGTCTTTGGCAGCACAGCTTTTTTCATTTTAATTAATTAAACTGAGTTTTTGAGAAAAAATATCCACAAAAATAGAGGAGCGACTGACTGATCAGCCTCTCCCCTCTTCTCCACAAACCACAAGCTTGGGGATTTGCACAAAATGAATATATCCACAAAAATAGAGGAGCGACTGATCAGCCTCTCCCCTCTTCTCCCCAAACCACAAGCTTGGGGATTTGCACAAAATGAATAACTGTCTCCAGCTCACTCCTTTTCATTTTTCTTGACTCAATTCTTTTCCTCCTCAATGCTTCTTTCGTGGCCGGAGCAATTGAGGCTGACAAGCATTAGCTACAAAGCAAAGCTTTTCCATTTGTAAGCTTGATGCTGTCATTAGTTCTCTGACTGGCATGGTAGCAGCTAGACTGGGTGACAAATCAGGTGACAAATCAGGCTCCAGCAAGCACTGGGGAGTGCCCCATCCTGCAGAGATTAATCCTGGGTGCATTGTATAACTGCAGGTCTCTGATCCAGCACAAGTGAGCAATAAAGGGAGCAGCACTACATTGTTGCACTAAATTCAGTTGAGATTTGTCAAGGAAGCAGGTGAAAGGTAGCATAATGTCTACTCAAAGAGTCTGTCCTCCAAAGGGAGAGGAAAATCCCACAGTGTCTTGGCAATAGAGGTTCTTCCCAGTATGGAAGACTTCACACTGTAACAGAAGGATCTTTCCAACTGGAAGGAATTTCACATCACCTTCAAACAAAAGGGACATTTCTCCCACCTCCCAGTCTTTCACCTAAGAATACCAAGGCTCAGCATGAACCTTAGAGATGGCAAACAGAAACAAGGCAATGCCTCTTTACTCACCCATCGAAGACACTGGCTGGAGCTGAACGACAAAGTAAATACAGAAAAACAAGTACTGGAACATCCCACTGAGCCAAGGAAGAGCCACCACTCAAGGGACAGAGGCTTCAAAGTCCTTGTACAGGCTGTGCCTCTTGCAGCCTCCCTCTCAGTGGAGCTTCTGACTCCAGGCTTCCAGAAGAGCAAGTTTATCAGAGGAAGAAGCTGAAGGGACATAGCTACAGCTCCAGCCTTGACCTCCCCAGAGCAGCTCTGCCCCTTACTGACAGCAGGGATATACTCACTGATCAATCTTGTTTTTTGGACTTGACCTGCTATTGTTTTCTGCCCTGACTGCCCTGCAGTGACACCTCCAGTATCTTATCCAGAGAAGAATTCTAACCAGGGACACCCGGACATCCCGAAGGGATGGAAAAGAAGAACAGATGGGTGCTTGTTATCTGTGCTCCTTCCACAAGTCACACTCCATGGCTCCCTCCAGGCAGAAAACACCAGCTAAGGAGCCTTAACTGCAGGAAATAGTGGCCAAAGGAGCAGCACTGATCCTTCCGAGCACAGATTGCAGAGGAGTGCCTGGAGCAGAGCTACAATGGGAACATCAGTCAAAGTGAAAGACTGGTGTCCCACAGGGAAATGAGCTGTTCCTAGGCTACACAGAGGCCCTTGCCACTCCTGGTCACACAACCTGACCACTGCAGCAAGATTATCAAGCAAGGCAAGTAAAGACTTTTCTGCAGAGCTCTTACAATCTCTTGTCTTGAAAAAATAAACCAATCCCAACGTTATGAAGTTAGTTTTGATGTATCTAAGAACCTCTCCTGACTAGCTCAAACCAAACTGGGCTGAGTTGCAGGGGACAGTCACAAGCTCTAGATGCAGCATGCTGAAATGTGTTCTTAACTACAGCAAACCCAGAAAGGGTTCTCCCCTCTCACCCCACCCCAAGAGCTCTCCATCAGCAATGAGTGCAGCTGAGCCTACAGTAATCACACAATCAGGCAAATGTAGGAATTTCTCCATTCCCTTCATTCCCTTGGCATCCTGCATTTCTGCAGCAGGCTGGCCTAAGAAATAACACCAACTTCAAATCCCAGCAGGAAAAAGTGGCTCCATTATTTACATGATGAATTTGAACAAGACAGGGAGTTGGGTGCTTGTCTGTCTTACAGGGACTGTACGTTACAGAAAATTCTCAATGGCCTCTCTCTGTTGGGGTGTGCTCCTGGGAGTGAAATACCATGTGCAGCTCTACTCCACTCCAGCCAGGAGGATTTTTTCAGTGGTGAATGACTCTAGGGAACAAAAAATCTCCAAATAAATTACTGTTATTGCTTCCATAAGGAAAAAAAATTCCTGTGGCTCTATTGTGCTGACAGCTGTGCAGTACCAGAAAGGTTTTTCCAACAACAGGAAAAGAGAAGAGATTCACTACACAAAGCTATCAAGGCAGATAACCCTCAAGAGGTGACTATGTGAATTCCCAGAAGAGAAACTAAAATTGAACAGAGAATAACACAGCAAGCCACTGGAATTTCTATTTTGCCACTTTCATTGAGAGGCTGGTTCATACTTATGATGCCAGGTAAATAAAACTGACAAGCCTGAATGGAATGCTCTGTTTGTGTCACAGGTGTGTGCAGCTCCCTGAACCATCCTTCACCAGCTGCTTCTGTTTTGTAGCTGCTAGATGAGCCTGTTATAACAAGGTTTTGACAGGTACGTGGAAGTGACTGACAGCTGACAATTAACACAGAGAAATGAACTGCAACATGGCAAATTGGAGTCCCAAAGGTGGCACCTACAGGCCCTATCAAGTTCTCAAAAGTGGATTAAAGCAGGAGATGCCCCAGCATTCCCAGAGAAGACACCACCCCAAGTCACCATAACATCTAATTGAAGGAAGTGGTCTCAAGCTGGAGAAGACAGTCTGCTACCTGTAAACAATTCTGGGAAGAAGCATCAGAGGCAATTCTTCTATCAGCAGCTTCTCTTTGAAAGTTAATTTGGGTGATATTCATAGCTCCAATTCCCCCACAAACAACCTATGCCTCAGGGAGCTGTAACAGTTAGTCCTGAGAGAAGAAATGGAGGGAAAAACCCCAAATCAAAAACCTCCCTGCAAGGAGATGCTCTGGGAGAGACACAATTCCAACAGGGCATTCTGTAGCACCGGCACTCTCCAGCAAATGTGTTGTTCCTAACCTCCACATTTGCACACCATAGACTGATGCACCCAACATCCCAAAAAGAACCAGCTTCAAGTTTTCAATCAAGCTTCAATCTTTTAAAAGAAGTCACCAGCACTGTTTAAAAGATAAGAAGGAAGGTAAAATGAAAATAGAGGGCAGGGATTTTATTTTGGTACCTGAGAGGGATTTTCTAAACCTGCTACAAAGCCTGTGCATATCTGTTCTTAACAAGAAAAATGGTCATTTTGCATGTGGCAACCACCCTTCTTGTGGAAGTGAGATCTCTGCAGGGCTTTACCATCCTCACACAAGGAACTCACATTCTTCAAAGCATTGTCTGGGCTGGAAAGCCTTGTACAGTTTGTAATGGACTCATGACTAAAAATGCTTAGGCATTTGCTGCAGTGGTCTTGGCTTTGTCAGAGCCACCTCTCAGGACACAGCAATGCCTGGGAGGTGTGTGAAGCACAGCTCTGGGTGCAGGAACCTACAACCTGCTTAGAAGGAGCAGGAGGAAGAGCTAATCAGCACTTCCTGCTGCAGGGAGGGAGGAGAGCCTGGCACACAGGACAGGCTCCCTTGTCTGGGATTGACTGGAGGATGCAGGTTCACAATAAGCCCTGACAGGCAGCTGAGATGGATTGCACTGAAGTCAAGGACTTGGAGATAGGCCTTGTTGCTGTAAACAACTTGTTCCAGGACTCAGAGCCAGTGGGAAGGGCTGTGGAGATCAGGGAGGGAGCACAAGTGAAATGTGAGCAAACTCCACACAAGTACAAGACTGAGAACCCATTAAGATCACTCCTAGTTACGAGTAGCTGTTATTTCCTTTCCCTTAGTGGAGCACTGTGATGCAGAACTTGGTGTTTGAGAATTTTTCCACAGGTCCTACAAACCCAGCATATTTTCCGTGCTCCTCCATTTTCAGATGGAGGAATTAGGGCATAGACAGCACATCAACAACTGCAAAACTAGTCAGGGGCAGAAAGAGAAGTAGAAATCATCTTTTAAGAGCCCTCAGAGCCACAGGAGCACAGCCTATGAGCAGTTCTCCCCTGCTTCAGGGCTTAGGTACACTGCAAGTCTGATTTTCATTAGTGGATTTTACTTTTCATCCCTTTAAATGCCAGAAAAGAAAATTAGCCGGATTGTTTTTTTTTAATAGGAATAATTAGCATCTCTTGGGATAGGTAGAAGAATACTTAAGCTATAAAAATCTCCTTCCTCTGTGAAAATTAAGCCATACAATGGAGCACAGAGGACAGAAGCTTGCTTTTATAACTCCACAGACACAAGAAGCCCAGGAGATATCAAAGAAATCGGTCCACTGGCTCAAAGACAGGGCAGCTTGGGCAGCTTCACATGGCTGGCTCAGTGCCATGGTCTGACAGCCAACAGCAGCTTCAGAGCATCATGCAAACCCTCTTAAAGCCAACATGGAAGCATAAGAACTTGCAGCAAGATGATCATCATTGCTGCCTGCCATGCAGGAAGGGTTACAGGGGAAAGAAAAAGGGTTTCTTCTTTGCTCTTCAGGAAAGAGTAGCCAAGAACAGCTTCCCTGGAGGGGCCTGCAAGGCAGAGCCTCATGGGTGTGGCAAAGGGAACTTAATGCTGTTCTCCAGGAAACTTTCAACTGGTTATATGTTAAAACCCTAGATACAAAGAGTTTTGGGCTTTCTATACTAAAAAACACAGACCCTCAAGAGAACACTACATTTAACCTAAAGCTGTAAAAAACCCCTTCCATACATTTATTTGAAAGCTCCCTCACAGAAGAGGTTAATCAAAAGAATGGCAAAATCAGTAGAAAAAGCAGCACCTGAGCACTGCAATGCTCCCTGCTGCTTCTCCCTCACCAGGGCTGAGGAATGCAGTGGCACATTAAAATTCAGGCAGCACTGCCTGCTCTGCAAGTGCTGCCAGGGGGACAGGACCTTATCACCTGCCTGGCTCCCAAAGGGGAAATAGTTGCTGCAAGAGTGTGTGCTGATGTTGAGATACAACAGCGTGGATCAGGAGAGCAAACAAACCCTGCCCTTCCCTTCAGTGTTTGCATTCCAAGGCACTGAGACTGGAGTGGGAGGCTTGTGGATTTCAGGGCACAAGTGTAGTCACTCTCCTTTTGTAACCCACACCATCTCTAGAACAACATTAATTCATGTGCAGGAACAGTTTTGTAACAGCACTTTCTTGTTTTCAAAACAGAGATGGTGGTGCTAAGATATCACAAAGTCTCCTGCTCTCCTGGATGCCAAAATGGACAAATTCTTATGCAACTGAGCCAAACAATTTACCTAAGGGTGGCAGCAGCTCACCTGGGGACAGCAGCACACTAAGGGCTGCCTGGAGGAAGGAGGCCCGTCAGCAGAGATTAAAGGCACGTGACAACAAACAGCTTCCAGCCCTTCCCCTCCAGCTTTGAAAAACACAAGAGTTGGCTTTTTCAAAAACTAGCTAATCATGGATGGTAATTTTTGTAAGCAGTCCATGGGCACAATGGAAACCTGCACCAAATATCTCATCCTAATAATCCAGAAAGTCAGGACAAAGCACACTCTGCTGATTCCCAAAGGAAATGAACAAATCACATGTCACCACGACAAATCATTCAAGGGCCCAGACAGAAAGGAACTGAAGCCTGACAACTCCAGTTTTTCTCCAAAACAACACTTGAGTGCAATATAGAAATACACTGACACCACAGGTACCTCTTTTGGCTGCTGGGCATTACTGCCCATATATATTCTTATCCTGCTACTATGCTGGCCAAACAAAGGAAGATCTTTGCTAGACTAAGTATCTCTATCTCACCACCTCAACTGCTCCTGAGATCCCTGTGTTAGGCAGCCAGGCCTGGCAGCCACATCTCCATCCAGGCTTCTTCAGGAAAGTTATTATCTGCATCACCACAGCATCAGTGAGGTGAGGTCAGTCAAGAAGACACAACCTAAACAAAAAGAAATGGAGGAAACTCAGGAGAGAGCTGCCACACAGGGAATATTCTCTTCTCAGCTGGGGAAAATAACATTATTCAAGAGCACTGATTCAAAAATTGAATAATTATTTATTGTTCCAGAAGTACATTGCTCTTTTATACATATTTCATAAATGATACAGGATTTTACACATGTTCAGGTTTTTTTTTTGTTCTTTTTTTTTTTAAAGAAGGACTTTTCTCCATGCTCCCTCCCTC